TCAACGACAATAATCAATATGTTTCGGGAAGAAATCTTCCAGAAACGTTATTGTTATAGGCGTTTAATGAAAGCCAGCTTTTAAGACCCGAAACAAAATTATCTTTCCCATGACCCGTAAGGCGTGCCCGACAAGACAACGTTGGTAGACAAGTACGGAATGGCTGCTGAAATCCCAGAGCCATTCTAGGCCACCTAAATCTTGAATAACTTCGGTGACGATTTGTGCTTACAACGCCACGCACACTATCATTTGAATCACTCACTGAAAGCACGACGAAGCAAGTACAACTTCATTAAACTCGCTGAAATATGAAATCATAGCCTATTAACCACGTTTGTAATACCAAAGAAGAACTTTCCTTCGAAACATATGAGGATAGAGTTTTCAGCATCCGCTTCCTCGTAAACACAACTTTGGCCACTTTGGCCATGAAAATCAATTCTTTTGCACAGCAAACGACCCGAATCGGAGGCGTATGGTTGATGAGATGTGAATCAAAGCAAGGTTTGAGAATCTACGTCGCCTACACTTCGACTTAAATCTGTGACAAAGACGAGGAGGAGACGTTCTATATGGATTCTGAAGTTTGATATGGAACATCACACCTTCATGAGGTCATAAACGGCTAGTTAAGTGACAAAACTTGCCCAAAGCTATAACTGAAGTGTTCAATATTGTGATCAATCTAGAACGCATTGAACAACGTGGTCGGCTGTCTGAATATATCACGATGAATAAGAACATTCATGGTAAATTACAATTTCTGAAGCCTCATTTCCAATATTATATGCGGGAATCCATTAACGGACATTGCCAGAGCGAAATGGACCGCATCGTAGTAAATCAAATGTTTCGCTCAAAATATTTTAAAGATGTCCTAGAGGCTCCTATAGGATCTGATCAGCAGCACTTGCGCTCAAGATTTTCTTTTGCAAAAGAAAGAAGTCTCTAGACAACAAAGACATGCTGAATACCCGATTCATCAAACATCTTCAATAGTGCGAAAAAAGCCTAAGGTTTGAAAGTTCCTAGACGAGATGTGCCTTTAAACGCATTTGAGTACCACCAGGTCAAAGTCACACGAACCGACTTCATTCAACAATTTATACAGGAAGTTGTGGAAGAGAAATATGTTCCAATTCGTGCTCTTTATGTGAACATAATCCATTTGTTAACCGTAGCGTACGAGAAGAACGAGAGAATTTTTTGCTGGTGCTTTTTTGACTTGTTTTACGATTATCTGAAACATAAGTGGAACAAATGGCACTGGCAACATAAACGATAAAGGACGAAGCTCTCAGCGCTGATCAGTCCCTGAGGTATGTGCTATGCATTCGACTTCATTATGAATCGTTGGAGGTGTTGAATGCATATCTGGCCTTTACAATGACTCCCGGTGGCCTACCAATGTATCGATCCCATCCTACTAACCTCCCAGACAAGTCTGGAATCAATTTGCTGACCACGGAGGGATGGAAGTCTTGGTGAGCCATCGGTGTAGAGAACAATATCATGTGTGTGTCGCAGGACCTTTCCGACCGCTGCGCCACAAGCCCCTACCAGTAGCTTAAGGGGTATAATTCCGACGTGACTTATTTGACTCTATGTACATGTTTCTTTGTTAAACTTCATGTTCTTTTCGTTCTCTTTATGACCATTGAGAACACGAAAGCACTTGGTTCGGTAGCCAGAAACCCAATCTTTCAATCATCCCTAGGTTTAATTTGAGCATAGATTTTGTGTATACCGATTATATGTAGACTTGCTCGATAGAGGAAATAGTTTTCATACATGATGCAGTAGTAGGACCGTCCAGACTTCAAATTGACAACTACGTGGCGTCTATGTGAACTCATAGTCTTCGGAGTGGAATAGGAAAAAGCAAAAGGTAATCCACCAATCCTTTTGCTTCTAGATATGTGATTTTATAGCTACGCGACAACGGCTATCAGTGAAAGCTCTGCAAGGAATTATTCAGCGATTATGGAACACTCCCATCGTGGAGGATATTGACGAAACTCTTACATACGAAGATCTTTCCGTCATGGTAAGTAACGGCTGCAGTTAACTTTTGACAAGAAAGAGGAAGTAGTCTATTCAGAAGCGTCCACTAGAGCCACAGCTCTCAGAGTACCATGTTAGTGAATTGAATACGAAAGTGCCATTCGACGTTGAAGATCATTGACGGAACTTCTTCGTTCCTTGAACTCGAAATTTATTACTATCGTGATTCGGCGTCTAGTAGTAAATCGTTGAGCTGAGTGTACTTTGATTATTGGATATTGTTTGAATATTTGATTAACTCTGATTAACGCGTCACTGATTCAAAACGTCAGCATATAGATAGGAACAGCGACATTACCTTTACTGTGTTCATGAGACAAGTAGAAATCAGTTATCAAGTCTTTGAACTTCGTCAACAAGTCACTAACAACTAATGAGAGTGAACTACACATTGTTTACCACCCTTGAGGGAACCTACAGTAGTATTACTCTCATGGACTTACAACCAAGAACATGAAGGAAAGAGAGGTCAGCAAAAGCTAATAGAAAAGTGGAAAATTTGGAATAGAGGACCACATTCAGCATGCAAAGCTGCTAGCTGAATCTACTCTCAAGCCTATTTCACAGAAAATCTTTCCTTCTTTTTTCTTCCTTCCTCGTTGCTATTAGAAAAGTGGGAAGATCATCTATAATCAAAGAAATCACGAAAGAGTGTGAGTGATACTAAGGTGTATAGCTGACCACTTGCACCTTGACAACGCCAACACAGTTACATTGATTACTTGCTCTTTTTTTGCGATTGTTCGATTCAGTCAAAAAATGGGAAAGAACTGCTGTCATAGATGTCAGTCCTACTCTAACCTATTCAAATTTTCTACCAGAAAGCTTTGATTACACCTCCACCATCACTTTGCACCAAAAGAGCAGAAAAAAACCCATCTTCATTCAACACAGTTAGAACGTTTGGTAATAAATGCCAGCTGCAGATGAGGTTCTCAACAGGATCTTCAAAGGAATAGATAACCGAAAATCCTTGCTCAGGAGAACTTGCTTATGAAAACTTTTCTACGAAATCTCAGCGAGTTTCTGACAAGTTTCTGACAAGCGAGCCAAACAAGGTGAAACCAGGCCTCAAGTGAATCAAAATAAAACCCATACGAAATGTCCTTGCCATGATAAAAAAACAAACATATACTTGTAGACTTTTTAATCACAGAAACTGTATTCTGATATGCAACGAACACCAGTGATTTCAAATGATAAAAACGATAAGGTGTTCCGCATTGATCAAGCCTGAGCGATGCGCTGTGCATCCAACTTCATAAAGCATCTTGAAGTTGATTGAATGCACACCTTGCCTATATAATAACTTGCAGTGGCCTACCAATGCATTAATTCACTGCTGTTATCCTCTTAGGGAAGTCCTGTACCAATTTTCCGACTTCGGGATAGATGCGGAGCTTCGTTAGCCCAGAGTACTTTCATTGAACGAAGTGCAATATGTGTATCTTAGGTAACCTCTAACCACTGCTCTCTGCGTGTCGTGAATATGGAAAACTGCGTAAGAGAGGAACTGCGCAGGAAAGAAAAATGGTAATGGCCCACCTGTGCGCTATCGATGAGTCTAAAAACCAGAATTGAAATTTTCGACTTGACTTGACAGTATTGCCGAGCGTTTGCTATGTTTAAGACGTGAGCATACGTTCTAACCAGGTTCTACCGAACAGTATAAACAGTATTTTGTGAAACAAACAAAAAAAAACATAGTTCGGCGTCCGTAGAACTAGTGCAAACCTGCGAGAAATATCATATCTATGGAGTGGGTAAGAAGCATTTACGGAGTGGTAATGTAACGAAGAGGTCGTCAAGAGGATCAGACACAGACAGGGAGAAGAGCATAAGTGGACTCTGAAGGGGTACAAGCCCACAATAGGGCAAACGCTGTAACATAGGAGTAATGGATTGTGGCGCACATCAAGTAGCTGTGAAAATAGCAGCTGAAAGGGGGGAGATAGCGGAGGGGTTAGTGGTGCAGTCCATCAGGAAACAAGGCGATGGTGTGACACTATCTCAGCGCTCGTCTGAACGTCTTAGCTCGGCTATCCTCGAGAATGCAAGGAGAGTCGACTCGACGAGTAATCGACAAAAACAAGAGCTTCAAGCAGCCGCCAAAACAACACGCGAAATGTTCGAAGACAATGGACGTGGACGATGAATGCAAAGAAAATGAATTGCATGCAAGAGAAATGCTGGAATCCGCAGAGTAGAACGAGTTAACCTCCTATTGTAAATTTGCTTGAGTAAGCCATTGCCATGGATTGTGGCTACAAAGCGCCGAAGCGAATGCAATATCCCGGAAGCCAGCTATTCGCAAGAAAGATCACAGATAATCAACGAAGTTTAGCACTCGACCATGACCATCTCCATAGCTGAAAAAGTGCTGCAGCTTCAATTATTTATTATGTACAATATTATAATTGCACTACATAATAAATAAATTTAAACAGTTCTAAGGAATTCGTCACTGAATTAACGTTGTTTCATGAGGTCCGAGCATTGAATCATACATGACGTGTCCTGAAATGAGTGACAATTAATACACACACTCACATTAGTTACTTCACTCTTTAACGGCAAAACCTTTGAAATATCGCTGAGCAGGTACTTATGGGAAAGTTTTTGGCAGCTGTCTACCTTAGTCGGTTGGCAGTTTACCTGAAAATAGCATTAAAGACAAAAATTTGTTCAAGGCGTTTAAAAACATCTTCACGGCAATCAGCCATAAAATCTACTAACCCCTTCGAAGGTGCACGTGCACGTGACACAGGGTGTGATGTGCATCGAGTCACCCATCGTTATCGTCCGTCCATTCATTTCACAATGTTCTACAGAAAATGAACACCATTACTTGTTGAATATTGTGAAAACAATTTCAGCATACTTTTTAGAGCGATCGAGGCCTTGTAGTGTTGTGTTTTCCGCAAACAAAAAGGAAGGAAAAGCAGACAGAGCCGTGTTCCATAAGTAAAAAACCCATCAGTACGTTACTCATTTCACTTACTTGGATACTTGAGCGGCTCGTCCTCACTGGCTGTGTGGGCCCCAGTATATTTTCCACTTTTCGGAGATTTGCTGACTAAGCCATTATGGTTCCCTGGAATCCCGAGGACAGCCTGGCCAAAGTCTGCCCCAGGTCGTCACCACCACAGGCAGTCGCCGTCTTCGTGGATCAGAGGAAGAGTTGCCACCGTGGTACCAGTTTGATGCCAAGATGGTTGTAGATCCCGGAATTGGTTTACTCTTAGCTGGGCTTTCTGACGAAAACGCCGGACTCCTTCTCGGCATTGGAGACCTTGCCACGAGGATGAATCCCACCGCTGTACATCGTAGCCCGACATCCACGAATACCTCCCAGTCACGATGAGGCGGTAAACCGTTGGCAGGCGCTATTCATTTTGCTACTGATAAATACATTGGTCCACAAAACATGCAGCAACAGTCAAATTTAGTTTCTAAATCAACTTTTTGATAGGCTACACGTTCCTTCAAAGACTGCCCTAAACTTAAGCATCGATTCAGGAAGAAATTTCTAGCAATTAAGGGATTTCTTCATTGTTTGGATAATTTCAAGCTACAATCCAAGTCGTACTTCGATCTTTCCAATGGATGAGATCTATTTGCGGAATGTCTTCACATGGAACCTGCGCGTTCCTGAATAAAGCAAAAACTGAGAAAAACGAAAAAAAACACGTTTTAACAGACAAAAACACGCACATCAAATCGTCCGGGATGTCGAAAACATTTGGCTGTATCGATCGCAGATATCGACTATTTGCGCAGAAAATCGATGACAGGCGGACTTTTCGAATTTCGGTTAGTTGAGCTTTAAAAAACAAACGGTGGACAAATGTTATACAGATATTCACACTGTAGGAAGCAGGGAAAAAGCTTATCAAGAATGAATTTTCTCACTAATAGTATTAAAATGATGATGATTATGTGATTTATACTACAGCTTCAGCTTAACTTGGTTTATGCCGATTTGTGCTCCCCAGATCAATCCCGCTGAAGAGTGATTGCTAACAGCGCCTATAGGTCAATAACACAACTGAGAGAGATGCTAAAGGAAGGACTTGCATGGTGTGGTGGTGAACCCTTCAGTTCCCGGAAAGGCTAACATCGTGTTCGGCCCAGACAGTAGATACGATCGGTTCGGAGTTTTTCTACTGTCTCAGCATCATTGCATTTATATTTCACATAATACCCTGTCATTAAAAAAGAGTAGGCAGGAAATAAAAATTGACGATATGGTGATGATTATCTTTAAGACAAAACGCTGAGTTGCATTTGATACCATCTACAAAGAATCATCTCTATCTCCTAGTGCACTTTCATTGTTTTATCCGCAAGCTGCTTCGTAATAACCAGCCCATCAACTTCTTTACAGCCTGCTAGAACGTATTTTGTAAACACTGCATACTATCAACTCTATTCACTGTTAGAAAATAATGGTAGACTAAATGCCCCGTACTCTCCTTATGTGTTAACAACTGCAAAGTTGGAAAAAACTGCCTAGAGAAAATCGCTCTCCTTCCAGTGGCATTTATCTAGCTTTGGATCTCCCAGAAATCGAATCCCGATTTCAACCTGTACTTTCAAAGCGGCATATCTTACGCCAAAATAAACTTTACTGATAGAAATAAAAACGTTACCATTTCAGCCGACGAGAAACAAGCCTATTTATACTAGTTGTATAAGAATTAGGATAACCGGAGCCGATGAAATCGTCGACAGTAGCTTCGGCTTCGGTTTGGTTTATGAACCCAGTTCCCGCACAGGAAGTTGTCGAGAAGCTTGATGACGTTTTAGTTGGTATGAGAGTTTAGGCGAGTATGATGGATGAGGCAGAGTTTGTACCACAGCTTGTTCAGTGTTCAGTGTTGGTTGTATGACACGATGCTGCGTGTGCAGGAGAATAGCTCCTTTTCTGTAGACCAGTGCGAAGTGTAGATGTCGGATTTTGCGCTGCATTTTGTCAAGTTGCTAGCCGCACATTATCGCCTTAATTCATCTGGATTCAAAAAAATATGGCAGATCGAACTAGCTGTAGAATACCAAACAGAGAGCACGGCCTTCCTCTGGTGCAATTTCTGCTTTGGGAGGTCCTGCGGAGCTTCATCGCTGTCCAATCACCAAGATGACCGGCGCCGATTGTCGTAGAGGAACATTTCTCGTCGAAAATTACAACTTGGTCGAGAAACCGGTAGTTCCGGTTGTGCAGAAAAAGCGCCTACGACACCTCAAAATGACGAGTTGTTTGACTGCCGTCCAATTCGTGTGGCACCACTTCGTCGAGTATCCTCGACTCTTCAGCGTTTTAAATACCCGCAAACATTTGCTTACATCGTGTTCTCATACAAGTTTTCGAACAGTTGTGAGTGCATTTGTTAGTGCAAAACCCCTCAGTTAATTGTCATCAATAGCAAGGAGACGTACGCGAGCATCCTTATCATCAATAACGAGTTAGCAATGATAAAATTTTTGGAACTAACATCGCACTGCACACTCGTTAACAATTAAAAGGATAAAAATGATAAAGCTCTTGGCGTTAATCAATTCATGAAGGAGACGCCATGCATTCGACTTCATTAAACATCGTTGGAGATGATTGAATGCACATGTGGCCTTTACAATGACTCGCGGTGGCCTACCGATGTATCGAGTCGATGCTGCTACACTCACGGACAAGTCTGGCAGCAATCTGCCGACCACGGAGGGAAGGAAGGCTTGGTGAGGCTAAGCTCCGGGGATCGATCACAAGTGTATTGCTGGGCGTCTCTAAGCACGCGCCCCTTAACAATTACTTGTCAATGATATAAGTCATTAATATTTTGAACCATTTGCGCAGTTGATAAATTTGTTGAAATTTCTGTTTTGCCTTTCCAGTTTTTAAGCTATAAAATATGTTAAAAAGCTATGTAGTAGTATAGCAGCCGGAGCCAAACTGTTTGCAAAAAGCATAGAATAGGGACGGCATTACAAATAGGACATTAGCTTCCGAGCAATCTAATAGAATTCGCCGTCAGCCATTTCCGTTCACCTCTTCTTGTCCTTGCCCTTTACTCTTCTCAGTTTCGTTTCAACCTACAACTAGCTTGTTCGTCATACTCCTTTATCGGTCTGTTACTATTTTTTATGGTCAACTTAACTTATTTCTCGCCAAATTATCTTTGCCTACTGATCCGACTGCCATTTCGTTGTTCATATTGCATGTATGTATAAAGGCTTAATTACCCAAGCTTGAGCTTCATAATGTGGCACCAACAGGGCCGTGTAGCATATTGTAGGAGGAGCATCATTTTATGTTGAACGATCTAGCATAAACTGCTACGTCGGCGAAATGGATCAAAAAATGAAGGCGTGCGCACTGCAGAGTAATTCGGCGCTCAAAAAAGCAATATAAAACTAAAACCTAAACTTCATAGCATTGCTTTCTATCCCCTATAAAGATTAGTACAATGTTTAATAACAAATTTCCAGAAGTGCGGGTTCGTTTCAATGCGTAGGTGAGCACAATGATTACCCTGTTGACGTTGAACAAAAATGTGCTACCTGAAATTTACTAATTCGAAATGCAACTAACCAGGGCTAAACCTTGCAACGCCATCGTTTTCATAGAAGAATCGGTCACATCTCTTCAATCGCCCAAATTGCTCGGCAATTATACATGACATTGTTGGTCCTAGCTGAAATCTCTTTTCGTAATTTATGAAGCTTGAAAAGACTTGAGAATGAATAGCATATTCAGAAATTTTGATTTCTTGGTTTCTGAATATAATGGTTATCCGAAACTCTACATGGCGTAAAACAGTGTCCCTGTAACATTGAGAAGTGTTTTTCGTATTCTTGTTGAGCAAATGCGAGGTGTTACTTTATTCTTTATTCACGAACAAGCTGACGTTGCGGCGGATTTCGCCTTCCTCAGAGCCTGGAAAAGTTAGGTTGACTACAATCTACACGGCCAAACACCTCCATAACCAAACAGAGAAAATGCTGAACCAAAACTTCAAACATATTGAACACAGTCATCGCACACTCACCGCTTTCTATGAGTCTTCCACTAAATATGTTACGTGGAGACCAACTGCTCAGAATTCGCACGGAATCGTATTGTGCCCCTTCCATCAAAATAACAGGCTTATATTGCGCCCAATATCACGCGTGATAATGAGTCATTCTACCCTGCGGTTCATTTTCGGATTTCTGGAATTTTTCCAGAACGCCTCGAGAGTTTTGGGCGCTTGTGTTCTCGATTCCTGTGGTGGATCGTGACCGGTACTTCAAAGTCCTCCCCGTTATGTCTCTGGGTCCTATGCGCCGAAACGTCAGCTTGTTCGTGAATAAAGAATAAAATAACACTTCGCGCTTGCTCAACAAGAATACGAAAAATACTTGATCAATGCCGAGGTTAATAGCAAGTCGGTCGTGGGATTTATTGAGAAGTGTGTGAGCTTTTCGTGTTTCTTTTATGACCTAACGGTATCATAACATTATGACTTCTGAAATAAACAGTGGGAAAAAATTCTTAAAAAAGGAAATAATACCAGTGCGCCTTTCTGAGGTCGTTCACTAACGAGCCCTGGGAATAGGTCAATATCGTCGACGGATTCGTACAAAGATGAGAGTGCCGATATTGCGTCCTGGTCCATCTCTTGCTGAAGGAATTTGTTAGTAGAAATGGTAATAGTGAGAAAACATTATTAAAAAAACAATTTTCATTTAGCGTCGGTGTGGAACGACCAAAGTCCTGTTGTCCTCTTAAGTTTAAGTGATGTTGTCACATAAATTTTTTTAATGTGGCTAACGTTTTCGGAGAAGAAGTGGTTCAAGTCGGTTGTTCATAGGCGTTCAATCTTTCCATACTGGTCTTCGTATTTCATAGAGTCGAATTACGTGGAACGCAGCATTTCATGAATCGCTAGTTCGTGTACGACTGCAGCGAACACTCGACTTGAATCACTGCACTTCTGAAGAAGGCGATGACGTCGAAACATTAACCACAATGAAAATTTACAGAGCATGCAAGGTCATCAATGCAAGAACAAATTAAAAAGAGCAACTTTTGTTGTCTTTGGCTGTAGTCAATAAAAAGGAGAAATCTTTACGCTCCTCGTTTTATGACACTTGTTCTTTTTATAATGGTGATAGACGCACTATGTTGAATGGATGCAAACGATGAAAAGGAAAAATTCACAAGTAATTGTGGTAATGAGACCCACTCTCTATCTAATAGGGAGCGCTCCGTATCTTTATCTACATCAATCTAGTTGAGAGTATTTTCCATCTTTACCCAATTCTATCTCTTTCGACGATAATCACATACGTTCACATGTTAACACTTCGGAATCCTTACCTTGTACTGTTCAACCATCTCTCCTGGTAAAATTTCTACTCTTTTAAAATGAACAGCTGTGAGCTACCAAATCTTAACCTTTTTAGTGCTTTAGTACTAACAAAGTTCTCTATATACTGTATTGCTCCACTTTTTTCCACGCATACCGTAAAACGAATTGCAACATTTTTTTACAAAAAGTGTCGCTCTTTGTCTTATATTTTACTCGCGCTGTATAAATGTCTGTCGGCATAAGCTGCAGGGAAACTCTCAAGCTAGCGTAACATCACCTAGTTCATAAGGAATATAGGCAGGATCATCAGTGATCACCCTATTCGCCTGCATACTGTCCTCGTCAACTTATTTTTGCTGCTCTATTCAGTGTGGTACAATTCACTTGTTGAGACCTCCATTTACAGACGCACTATTGACCGACGTCGTATGTTACACACATTAGTGCCCCAATAATCAGTGATGCCTTGAAACTGTTTTTAATCATTCCTATACCTTCTGCAGTGATAAAACCACTGCTACTAGATTAGTGTATTGCATATGCAAAGGTTTAATTACCCGAGTTTGGGGCTAAGGTAGACACTGTGAGCTTTATATGGAAGGCAACATTTCGAGATATCTCCATTACACGGTGTGACGGTCATTTGAGGGAAACTCATTAACGTCACGCCTCATCACGCAGCTCAAGTCATAAACGTCGTAACTCGACTCACACAGTTCATCGACGCTGATCAATGCCGCTTTAATTGGGTTCGGTACTACGAGTACTCCAGCTGGACTCACTAGACTATTGCTGCAGCTCACCGTCACCTTAACTGGATAAACGTACTACGATAGTTTTCACTAATGAATCTCCTTTACAACATAGTGCCCGAGAACCACGTTAACAAGACCTCTACATTTATCAAAGCTGTTAGTCACTTTGCTAACGAGCTGGAAGCTTTCTTAACAGGTGTCAAACAATTTGACGATTTACGATTACATACGCGATCTTAAACCTTACAACGGCGTATTTTACTCCAAGATGGTATAAGGCAAATGTCACGGAAAATGAAATCCATTCCGTCCATCTTATGTATCTTTTTAGACGATTGAAAAAGTAACTTTCTCACACCAGCTATTTGTACTTGTCTTTCTACAGTTGTAAAATGTGCCCATCTCCTATTTATGATGTCAACATTTATTGCCTGTACTTTTCAAATGTGTGATAGAGGTATTCCATTTCCCATGTTTGAGATCCTACCCACGGCAATAAAAAGTCCTGCATGGCAAATCGCATAAAAACGAACGCTGTATATTAAAGCAAATAATAAAATCTGCTCCTTCAATTGATTTAATAAGCTACATTCCGCTGAACAAGCTAATACGTATAACTTCCTTTGAATAAATGAACAAAAGTAACAAACACCGAGGTGGTTCCAATTTAAACATTGACGATATGGATGGAGAAAGCTGGTATCCACGAAGAAGGTTCTACGCTGTGTAAAATCCCACCTTAAGATCTTCGAATTTCCTTGCTCTCCTTAGGCCGCAGAACTCTCGTAGGTCGTTGTACGGCTGTACGCCATGGTCGCGAGCTCGCAGAATATTGAGAACTGAAGAAGAAGCAATCGCTTGTTGTTACACTTTTTGCATGAAAAGGAAGAAAATCTGTCGTATCAGTGTTAGTCGAAGTGATTAAGCATCTCATATGGAGGTTGAAGCTGTTCAATGGAGCGTCATTGCGAAAAACATATTAATCTTTTCACAAAAATTCACAGATTAGGTAGAACATTTATCTTTTTTTAAAAAAGAAAACTAGTGCCATATGATTTCTCTCTAAAAATGTAGGAAAATCTTCGCGAAACCACTTGGATTAGTCGAACATTTATGCAGTATATAGTATTCCAGAACTAGTGGGAAGACGGCAGACGCATAAATTCCGCATTAGAATATTCTTTAAGCACTGTTTTCCTCAGGTTTTTTGAGTCTCCATCCCACACTGACCAATAAGATCCATTCCACTTTTGGGTTCACCACGTCGCATAAACAGATGGTTTCTTACTGCATTCGTGATGTGACGATCGAAAGCCATCGAAGGTGTGCCTAGTAGACCCATTAGCATTGAGTCCATGCCTAAAGTATACACTGCAGATTCTGTAGAAATAATTCTTGCATTTCAGATGTATAAAACTTAGCCTCTACCCTAGTATCTCGTTGACTGCACTGCTATGGCCGAAATTAAAGCAATTGAGGAATAGTAGCCTCTGAAGATAGAAACTCTATCCATAATTCTTTCTACTTCTGTTCAGCAAACCCGAGGTGCTATTTTATTTCTTTATTTACGTACAAGCTGACGTTTCGGCGAATTTCGCCTTCCTCAGAACCTGAAAAGGTCAAGTTGACAGCAACCTATTCGGCCAAACACCTCCATAGCCAAACAGAGAAAACGCTAAAACAAGATTTCAATCACATTTAACACAGCTCTGCACACTCACCGCTTTCTATGAGTTTTCCACTGAGTATGCCGTGTGAAGACCGACCGCACAGATCTCACTTGGAATTCACATTCCACAATCCTCGCACAGGAATCGAGAACACAAGCGCACAAAACTCTCGAGGTGTTCTGGTTAATTCCAGAAATCCGAAAATGAACCGCAGGGAGGAATGCCTCACTACCACGCGTGATATTGGAGAGTATATAAACCTGTTATTCTGATGGGAGGGGCACATTACGCCTCCATGTGAATTTCATGCGGTCGGTCTTCACAGGACATGCTCAGTGGAAGACTCATAGAAAGCGGTGAGTGTGCAGAGCTGTGTTAAATGTGATTGAAATCTTGGTTTAGCGTTTTCTCTGTTTGGCTATGGAGGTGTTTGGCTGAATAGGTTGCTGTCAACTTGACCTTTCGAGGCTCTGAGGAAGGCCAAATCCGCCGAAACGTCAGCCTGCACGTAAATAAAGAAACAAAATAGCACCTCGTGTTTGCTGAACGGAAGTAGAAAGAATGACTCAATCAGTGCCGAGGTTAATCGATACTTGGACTCGGACTTGGGAGTTACTTCATTCATAATTTTAGATGTTTGTTTCAAGACATGTATAAGAAGATGAATATTATGTAGTTAAGACCATGTTTATTATGTAATATATTAGTTTATGTAGTATGCGACCACGAAAACCCACATCGGAACAGAGAAGAACTGTAGACAGTCGGCTCAGATTAACTGGGCTCAGAGGAAGGCGGAGGTGCCGGAACATTAGGCGAATAAAGTTTTCTTTCAGCAAGCACGTGTTAGCTTACCAAGCAAGGAATACACGTTGATTAATCATACCGACGTTAAATGAAAATCGGTTTTTGAAATATTGTTACGCTCTACAGTAGCTGATAATGAAAGCGACTGTTTCAAGATGGATTGTTCGGAGGAGAACAAGTTTTCATCAACGGGTAAACACTACATAGTGGCCGTCCTGTACAAATAAGCACTGCCGAGTGAGGTTTTCCATACGAGAATTCTCAACTGGATTCGATTCGATGCAATTACGAAGACCCACATCGGAAGAAGGAAAAACTGTGGACAGGTGACTCGGATCAATGCGGCTTTGAATTAGCCGAACATAAGTTTTTTAAAAAATTTGTATTAGCTTATCAATAAGAGAATACGTTCCACGCAATAAATGTCGGGAATCATGATAACAGGCCTCCGTACTATATATCATCTTATTCACTGCATAGTGAATAAGTCAGAGGAAACTTGGAACAGAAAGAAATTTGTCCAATAGGGTGTGCTCTCCAACATAGTCTCATTTCATTTCGTTGCCTGGTGTCCGTTACCGAAGGAAGCAGTTAGCCTCTTGCGTGAGTTGTGTTGACGCTTGAATATTCGCCTTCAATTCTCCCTACTAATATTTTTTGCAGTGGTTGAAGAAAGTTTTAATGAAGGTGCTGAAGCAACCCAGCCAGGACGATCCAGGTGTTCACCAAAGGCAGTAATGCGCCTTTATAGGTCACAAGCCTCATAATTTTTCAGGGTTCAAGAATTTGGGTAGTGAAAATATATTCAAAGAGCGCTGCATGCGACTACCACGTCTAATACACTTAACATTCTTCAACCCACGGACGAAAGCGCGACTTTGAACATTTCAAGTTTGCGAAGTGCTGAAGAATTTTGAGCAGAAATCTCAACAAATGTACACTCACCACCTGCTTCCTTATCGTACAACGGGCCAACGTGTCCGAAGTGATTTGCTAGGTCAACTGGGTCGCTCATGTTTCTGAAAAAAAGAAACATTACTAGCATGCTCATTAGATAGGCGAAATAAAAACACTGAAACCTTTCCGCTAAACTACAAACACTACGTTAGCTTCGCCTGGTTGACTAACTCAAGACAATCAACCGCTATCATGAAAAACTGATGAATAGAAACTCATTAAAATTCAGGCCTATGTTTGGTATGCTTTAGAGCTTATTCTGTAAAAAAAAACAAAAGGATATCAGCAAAGATCGATAAAGTGGATGGCAAAGAAATTCGCACTTGTAGTTGTAGTTCATCCTGGGGAACATTCGTCGAATAAGTGTGTGGCCAAAGCGAAACGCCGCGGTCGAAAACGGCTGCGATATCGATGCATCGCACGAATCATCGTAACCTGAAGAGATTTTCTCTCAAAATACATTTGGAACCACACGTATGGCGAAATGGAAATTCTTGGCGACTAAGCGACTAAACCTAAGTTTGTGGGCATGCCTAGTAGAGCTAGTCCTATTCTTCGCTCGGCGTGGCATGCATTGAATTAAATGCGTATGCTTCAATAGGACCAAAAAGGTTTAAGACTTTTTTCCCCTTTCATGCTGAATGTCGGTGTTTTCACGCAAGCTTTTAGGTCTGTGTGTGAATTTTTATGTTCTACATATCCAACAGTGTATCCTGATATATTTTCGAAAATTTCTGTCTTTTTTTAAAGAAAAGAAATAATCACCAATCCAAGTTATCCAATAAAATTTCAGCTGTCTTTTACAACATATGTCGAGTATAGTTTGGTACCCTTTATGTTTTTCTTTCCGTCCACATATAAGCTCAATGGTCCAGGTAGTCTGTAATTTTCTCACGTATACATTCTTGGAGGCATATTGTTGATCACCCACTGTGTGTGCCCGCGTTGGAATACCTTCACACTCTTTATGATGGCAGTTGCCTCAGTAGCATATCTTAATATCCTAAACGTTATTATCTTTCGCGTTGGTTGGCTAGCAAACTGATGTAAAAAGAGTTTTTGTAAATTATTTAAGCGTAGAGAGCGAACTGCCATAGGCCTCGTCTGTTACAGCGTAGGTGTTGAATAAGCTGCAAATGGATTACAAAAGGTCGAAGAAAACAAGCTTTCCGCAGATAAATAAGCCAACGAAAATGAAACGCATAGCAATCAAAGCGTGCGACACAAATTCACTTGCACTATGCAATGATATTAATGCATAGAGTGGCATGTGTTAGGTGAAACACATGTATTCGGCTTTAGCTTGCACGTGGCTCGCCGTGGTAAAGCTTAACGTGATTTAAGGCATTCATTTTAGCGTAACAATTATATCGTAAACAACTAACACTTAAAAATTTCCTTTTTTGATTATATCCTAACTCTGTTTAAAATAACTCAACGTCCTATAAGCTGACTAATTTTTTGTGTGACCCGCCTTCACATCTACTGTGCGGATCCCAGTACTTCTTACATTCGATGCGTTTCCTTGCATCCATTGTCCACGAAATTGTCTTCCAACTTTTAAGGTTGGCTTCGGTTGCTGCTTGAGGATTTTCATTTCATCTTGAACGTCGTAGAATGCTGGTCGAGCAATTCTCCCTGGAGTCCCGAGATAGCTGGGCTGGAGAGTTCCCTAGCAGCATAAGGTGATTATAGTGCTATCATCACCGTTACTTTGCTGCTTGTGCAGTCACGAATGGAATACCCGACTTATAGTGTTCATTGTTAAAAGTTTTCTTTAATGTCCGCTGTTTATGATTTCTATTTCATTTGTACTCTTAAATGTCCACTTCAATGGCCTAACTGGTGATCTCGTTGGTGTAATCTTAGCCTTTACGAAGAACTACCACACAAATGGGTATTCTTCATAGATAACAGTAACCGTCGTCGTTCTTTATTCATACCAGATTTGAGTGTACTCTATAAATAATCTGTCAGTTTTTGTGAAACCATACCGGTGAAATATCCAGTTTTCATCGGGACTAATCCTTGAGCATCTAGAAGATCAAGCCCAATGATTTTCGGCAGGAACTCGGAAAACACGATATGCTGCAGTTGTGCCACAACAATACGACGAGTTTCCTGTAATCGTCGTTGAAAAGTTAAGTTAAAAAAAGAGAAAGTCCACAACGTTTATCAATCTCTGAGGGATGCGCGATTCATTCATTCATTCATTCATTCATTCATTCGCGACTTCATTAGGCATCGTTGGAGATATTGAATGCATACCTCGCTCATGCAATGGCATGCTATGGCCTACCCACGCATCAAATCAGAGCTACTATCCTCCCTGAAAGGCCTGGTACCAATTTGCCGACTTCAGATGGGTAGAAGGCTTGATGAGTCTGGAGCACGAGATCGGATCATGTGTATTTAATCGCACCTCTAATCTTAATATCGGCGGAAAATTGGTATTTCTCTTCATTTCCTTGTTTAGAACGAAGCACTGACAAAAATTTAGAAAACGCTTTCTTCCTATGAAGGGTACACTGGTATATCACCTGGTTATCATTATAGCTGTGTGTGCTGAAGACAAAATTTTCATGCCTATAAACTCAACTAAGCCATATGAATAATAAGGAAACCGTCGGTGATCAAGTGTTCTTTCGTTTTGATCGGTGTTAAGACTACCTGGTAGACAGTCTCATCTGTCCAGTGGGGGTTCATCGTTGACAGCTGCATGGCAATGCGATTGTGCTCACGCATCATGAAGGTGTGCATCACCGTAAGGCCTGGTTGATGTGAATTTCTTAAATAGAATGTCAGTGTAAGGCTAAGCTAGGAATAAAAAAATATAAGACTTTGACGTTAAGGTTATCCATCTTTTTCATTTCTGCATAACGTATTTAATGGGAGAAAGTCCAAAGTAGAACTCCGAGTTCTATGAAAAGACCTTTCGTCTCCAGCGACAAAGCAAGGATTCCGTGGCGATGAACGACAATCCTTTTCTTGATCGCCTTGTGGTAACATTATTTGACCGTGGCCTAAAACACTCCTTCATTTCAGCCGCTTGGAGTTTTCAGAACAAAAAGAAATCAAAGGACATGTGTGCGCAGGTTATTTGCAAGTTCATTTATGGCATTGTAAAGGTACTCTTTGCTGTCTAAACGGTAGTGATCGCCTTACTGATTTCCTTTAAAGCACTTTTCACATTTCGGAAAAAAGTTTGGAGCTCTTCACTTCAGTTTTCGCATCTAACCACGACGCCAAAAAACCGATAACGCAGTCATATGTGCTGAGCCAAGCGAACTGCATTTGCAAGTCTAGAAAAAGTCCCTGATGCAAGCAGCTGTTCAAAAACCTATTAGTAAAAGTTCTTTTCCTGGTTTGTTTTAGGAATGGAATAGAGCTCCTTGCATTTCTGTTTCAATTTCGGATCCTATCGCATGGCTATCCATGGAAATCTGGTTAATGAACTCTCAGGTAACGCGTCATCTATTAATTCTCATTTCAAAAACATTGGAAGTCCAACAAAAGTCAAAAAATCAGTAGAACTAAAATATACACCGAAGTCCGTAAAGTTGAGTAGTCCTCGGCTAGTCAATCGTAAATGCTTTGATTCGCATTCTGTAGAACCATAAATGATGGATCCGTCTATGTATGCGGTGAGCTGGAAATATTATTAAATTTCATAATATCAAGTAATTACTTCTTTACCACAAAATTTTTCTATTTTCTATTTTACTTTTCTTTACTTTATTTTATTTGATCAGTCCTCAATCCCACTGTGCGGATCCCAGTGCTCCTCATTTTCGACTCGGTTCCTCTCATCCATTGTCCACGAAGATCTTCCAACTTTTACACATGGGTTCCGTTGCTACTTTAGGGATTCCACTTTATCTTGAATGTCGTAGAATGATGGTCGAGCAATTCCCCGTAGTCCGGAGATAGCCGGGATGGAGTGCTCTCAATTGGATTGCAGAGTGATTTTTTCCTCCAGACAAGCCCGGTACCAATTTCAGGGCTCCAGAGGGATGAGAGGCTTAGTTGACACAGAGAGGAATGGAACAAGAACCATGCTCGTGATGGTGGACATCACTACCACTGTACTATCTGCCCCTAAAATTTTTCTATAGGTAATTAAATTTCACTAGGCGTTTGTACTAAGATCGTATACGCCTTTTGAGTAGCGTTACACAGATCTTGGTTTGTTTGCGACTAGTTTTCGCAAGAAAGGTTTATAGCATTCTGTTAAGAAATTCGATACGGTTGGACAAACTGAACACAAATCCAATTTTCTGTTTGCACCAAGTGCCAACGAAAACGGCATAACTAATCAACTGATAACCTGGTTGATTTGATTCCTATATCCGAGGTTTAGCTGACCGAGCAACGATCTAGCGAACGGAAGACAACGGGGCTCTCCATTGGGATAGTGTGTGGGAAAGAACGGATCGCCTGGTTCCACTCGAATGGGCATACAGTGCACCGAGATCGTCTCCGCAGAGTCACATCTGAAAGCGCATTGTTAGGTTTACCGTTGAGAAGCTTTTGCGTAAGCAATTAAAGTGGAGAGAAAACGCATTATTGCGAACTTAGACGATAATGGCAAAAATTTAAAAAAAAAACCGTAAAGCGTTGAGCATTGAATGCTCCCTAAATGAGGCCTGGTGCATCCGACTTCAGTGAGCCTCACAAAAGCGGTCAAGTGCACATTTGATTTACAGAATTACTTAAGTAATTTTCTTCGTATTTTTGTTGAGCAAATGCGAGGTGTTATTATTCTTTGTTCACGATTAAGCTGACGTTTCGGCGGATTTCGCCTTCCTCAGAGCCTGGAAAGGTCAAGTTGATAGCAATTTACTCGGCCAGACGCCTCCATAACCAAACAAAGAAACTCCAAACCAAGATTTCAATCACTTTGAACACAGCTTTGCACACTCACCGCTTCCTATGAGGTTTCCACTAAGTATGTCACATAGAGGCCAACCGCACAGAAATCACATGGAAGTATAATGTGCCCCTAACATCAGAAAAGCAGTTCTATATAGTGCCCTATATCACGCGTGATAATGAGGCATTCTTCCCTGCGGTTCATGTTCGGATTTCTGGAATTAATCCAGAGTGCCTCGAGAGTTTTTCGCGCCTGTGTTCTTGATTCGCGTGCGAGGATCGTGACACATACTTCGAAGTCGTCCCCGTTATGTCTCTGAAAACTATAACCCGAGCTCGGGTATAGTTTATCTGATCTCCTGTAAGACGTGTGTGACGAATACATTGGCGAAACGGGTAGACTCCTCTGTGTCCGCATGAAAGAACACCTAGCCGGCAAAAATAGACCAAATACCCCACTAGGCACGCACAGGACCCAGAGACATAACGGGGACGACTTCGAAGTATGTGTCACGATCCTCGCACGCGAATCAAGAACACAGGCGCGAAAAACTCTCGAGGCACTCTGGATTAATTCCAGAAATCCGAAAACGAACCGCAGGGAAGAATGCCTCATTATCACGCGTGATATAGGGCAGTATATAAAACTGCTTTTCTGATGTGAGGGGCACATTATACTTCCACGTGATTTCTGTGCGGTTGGTCTCTACGTGACATACTTAGTGGAAACCTCATAGGAAGCGGCGAGTTTGCAAATCTGTGTTCAAAGTGATTGAAATCTTGGTTTGGAGTTTCTTTGTTTGGTTATGGAGGCGTCTGGCCGAGTGGATTGCTATCAACTTGGCCTTTCCAGGCTCTGAAGAAAGCGAAATCAGCCGAAACGTCAGCTTAATCGTGAACGAAGAATAATAACACCTCGCGTTTGCTCAACAAAAATACGAAGAAAATTACTTGATCAATGCCGAGGTTAATAGAAAGTCGGTCGTGGCAGAATTACTTAACCCCATGTCTTATTTCATTCAAACACAAGCCGGAAACCAATTTCCAAAGCTCAGCGCCAGGATCGAACCAACAACCGTACCATGGCAGGGTACCTCTAATACCCTTAACATTAATGAAAAATAAAATAAAAGGTTACATTGAGATTTCGACTATAGCCTCAGCTTAAATGGGTTCAATGCCAATTTATGCTCCCATATCAATCTCGTTTACAGGTGATGGCGCCGCCAAATAGCAAACTGGCCGAGAGAAAGGCAAATCAGGGCCTCAGTGGTGCGGTGTGTAACACACGAGAACACAGAAAGGGTAGTCGCGGTTCGATCTGCTATGGGGTCCAAGTTTTGCAAATATTTCAGCATCACTGTGGTTGCACTTAATACTCTGCCGAAAAAAATTACAGTATACAAGAAATAAAAGGCTAACATTGAGACGATATAGATGGAAATTGTCATTCGTCGCACTACCACCTGAGTGTCCCTAGCCCTGGCTTTTCAATATCCTAGTGACACGAATTCGTCATCACACATCCAGTTTTAATGCCACAATTACGATCGCCTTTCTGTTGCTACTTTTGGTGCTTGCAAACAACAGAAGTAGCTTGTTTGGCTAGGGTTATCCTTCATAAACAGATCTCCGATCCTCCAAAGGAAAGGAAGGACAAGGGCGGCGACCTGTATGGATGGCATTTCACTTTTAATTAGGTGACTCATTTGTCTTAGACACTGAGATGAAATGTAGTGAAATGTAGTTTTCAGCACGATGTACTTATGTGCAGCACCTTGTGCAGTTGAGGATCTCGTCATTGGGTCCGCGAGCGATGGGCGAATGTGTGATCTCGTGGTCCAACATCTGACCGAACTGCATAACCATATGGGTAAATTTCACATGTGAGATGTCACGATCTTCACAGACAATGTTCGAAATCTGGAATTAAAACATTATAATTCTTTCTACTTTTGTTCAGCAACACGAGGCTTCTTTCTTCTGTTCTTCCTTCTTCTGTTCTTTTAAAATATTATAAGTACATGCGTTTAGAATAGTTCTCTTCTAAACGAGAAGCACTTAAGCTACCAAAAGTGCCTTGGATTAAAAACAATAAAAAGAGAAGACGCATTGGCATGTTAGTCTAAAATAAAATATTGAAGACGATTGGTTTTCGGATCCGGAAAATGCCGTCCTCACTTACCAGTCGTGGATTTGGGAGCGGCTTTCCGCTTTTGGCGCGACTTCGCGGTGCATCAAAACCATCGTCGTAAACCGGCGGCAGTAGATGTCGTAATGGCGAGAAGGAGTTAGCATAGCCGGGAAACTTCAAATTATTGCACCATCCCGAATGAGTACGATATCTGAAATCTCGGAAATATTGCAAGCACAATATATTAAATGTTTATTGATAAAATGGTCGAAAACACATTGATCTACGCGAGAAAATTGCTACTGGCATCTATTTCCTAGAATGTAGAACAACGGTTTACCCCCTCATCGTGGCGGGGGGGGGGGGGGGGGGGGGGGGGGGGCGTTCCTGGGTGTCGGGTCGTAATGTACATCGGAGGATTTATCCCGCTCGCAGGGTCTCAAATGCTGAAAAGGAGTCCGGCGTTTTCGTCAAGAAGCACAGGTAAGAGTACACAAATCCAGGATCCACCGCCGTCCTGGTATTAAAATGGTCGCATGGTGGCAAATCTCCCTCTGATCCACAAGGGCTGCGACTGCCTGTTGTGGTGACGACCTGGGGCAGACTTTGGCCAGGCTGTCCTCGGGATTCCAGGGAACCACAATGGCTTAACCAGCAAATCTCCGAAAAATGGAGATTATGCTGAGGCCCGCACAATCAGTGAGGACGGGCCATTCAAGTATTCAAGTAAGTAAGTATATGAGTATAGAACACGCACAGGCTTTTTTCCATTATGGTAAAGAATTCGAAACTGAAAGGTTGCTGTGGTTTTCTTTCAAACAGAACCTTTAAAGGAACACTATAACTTGGATGCCCTACTCTAGGAAGATTTCAACATTCTTGAGAGGAAATATTCTTTATTCTATTCTTGAGAGGGTTATCGTGGAAGTCTAGCTTATATAAAGCATCTCGGAGTTTCTCAATTAAGTACGACAACAATTTTCCCAGTCTTTGCACGCGGTCAATCCGTACTGGTAACTGCCAGCGATTTTTTTAACAACCGAATGCGTCACCAACTTCGTCGTGTGATCACATGGTAGTATTTTAGGCAGACATTCGTCAGTAGTCGATAGACCGTCATCGGAGAGAAAGGCCGTGAAATTGTTTACAAACGTTGAAACATCGATATCTGGCAGTAGACGCTGCAGCACATCATTTTCTAGCGGTGGAAGACGTTCTTCCTCCGAGAGTACCTCACTGAAATAGTACTGCTTATTCATGATCAACGTTAGAGTCTATGATTAACGGCAAAGTATAAATGCTAGAGAAGTTTCGAATCTTCTAATTCTCTAGAGCAATACACGTGAGAATTCAGAAATTTCACTGGCTTGCTATATCGCCGAACGCACAAACAGAGCAGGAAAAGCTACCTAACTCACCCTTTAAGGAGTAGTTTTGTAGTCTCGAGCAAAATCGCCGACACCTGGGAGATCTGCTTCGCTTTCACCTTCGCACGCATCATATTGGAGTAGGCAAACAGCGGGTCACCCTTAGTGAACACACGCTGATCTTAACAAGGTTCATGAATAACGACATCCACGTAAATTCTCATCTCATGTTGAGGTTTGGCCATACTGCTATCAACTCATTTTTTACGCTTAACATAAGACAAAGGGCTTGATTAATCCAAAACTGCCTTAACTGGTTGGTCTCTACGTGACATACTTAGTGGAGACCTCATAGAAAGCGGCTCTGAAGAAGGCGAAATTCGCCGAAACGTCAGCTTAATCGTGAACAAAGAACAATAACACCTCGCGTTTGCTCAAAAAAAATACGAACATAATCCAAAACTGTTAATTGGCCAGCTCGATCAATGTAAAGTTCTAAAATAATTCGAAACAAGGTGGAGTTCCTAACAGTACGTCGCAGAATAGACATCTTAGCACTAAAGACTTCACTCTTCTTTTTCAGTTCCATGTATATTCTCTTTACCATTCATGCCTCGTTTTATCCCCTAGTTGCCCGAAGATGTGGTGCTTTTGTGCAATTTCTTCACTATACAGTAGCAGCTTCATATTCCATCTTAAAAGCATAAAATTCGTAAAACCTAAGAATGAGCATAGGCAACAACAGGTCTAATTGTTCTGTTTGACACCTGAAATTTAACCAACAATTGTATGATTTCGTGTAGCGGTTGTTGTCTGATTGGCCCTAACGTGCGACCAGGCTCGAAAACTTAAGCAACTTACGCAATCCGTTTGAATAGTTCGCTGTCTCTACGGTGCATTGATCATGGCAAGAAAATTTTTCCTAGATCATGTAATCACTCTGCTGGAAAGTATGCCGAAACAGGAATGGGAAATTCATGGGTTTGAAAGAATAGATGCGGAGTTGATTTTGAACTTGCTCTAAACTACAGCTATGAGCATTTTAATGTCTTGCTAAGCAATATTGCAAAATTTTCACGAGCAAAATAGAATATCATGACTGCAAGCACGATCAGACTATCCTGCTCTGCATGACAGCTGTTAGCTAGACTATGAATGAAATTGAAATATTGTAGAATTGTTAGATGACACTCAGCATTATTCCTGTAGGTATATTTATTATCTCTTCTTAAAGTACAGGAGTAATATAGGAAAAAGGATAACACGTTTGGCGTTGATCAGCTCCTGAAGGATGTGCTTTACACGCAGCTCCACTGACACTGCAGATGTGAGTGAATGCACATACAGCCTATACAACGATTTTTGGTAGCATACAACTGCCAGCATAAGTTTAGTGTTTCTATCCTCCCAGAGAAGTGTTGCACCAATTTCTCGACGCTGAAGAAATGCAAGACTTGATGAGCACGTGGCCCAGGATTGAACTCTTGATCAATCCAATGTATAGTGCAGGGCACCTCTAACCAATGCACAACGCTCGCCCCTACAGAAGCTACCAAACGACGAAGTCACAACCTGCTTTATAGAGTGCTTCTTCCTCTGCAACTAACACTGCGGGTGTTAACTTCGTTCTGCCTTCAACTCGTTTCTACATGATTTCGCAGGGTCGCCAATACGTGTGTAGGCTCTGAGCAACCAGTCGTTGTCTTGTCATATTACTTCGAGACTGCCCTTTGGTGATGTTTAAACAGACCGATCTTTTTATAGTGTAGATAAGATCTAGAATCAAATTATATTCCCAGCCGATGCTGTCGCTGACGGAGCCATCCCACATTCCACCACTGCATCGAACCTCAAACAGGAAGATCACGACTAACCATGAGTTTAGGGGTATGCTTTCTTCCAGCTTGTTTCGTTGCTTTGATAGTAATGCGAAAAAGACGATATTAATTCATATGCGGGGTTTTGGGAACCAAAAGAGAAAAGAACACTCACTGTGCTGCAAATTTGATATCTCACGTTTCTGTTGGTCCTTCAGATTATGAATAGCCAAATTTACAACCTGCAACACTCTTCATTGGAAAAGAAGACCAATAATAAAGGAAGGGAAAAACAGGACGTGACCAACTAGACCTTTTCCAACGTATTCTGTGAGACGGGAAACGTTGGCCTGTCTTCCAAATCTTTCCACTCAGATATTGATGGTGAAGCAAGGACTGATGAAGAACAATCGATCTGCATGTTTCTAAAGAGTACGCTGAGAAATCGTCTGACTAGCAAGCGAAGTATATTGCATGAGTGCTAAAAACACAACACCAAAAAATATGAGGCCGTGGACTAAAATCCAAGGTAAAAGTTTTTGTTCAGCTTAGAAAACTGCGTCACCGAGTAAGCTTTACATTTTCTACGCCCCATTCAGACTGTGAAGAGATCGAAATCCTCCGAAAGTCCAGCCATTTTTTGCAAGCTGAAACATGTTAATGACCTCGTATCAGCTCATTAGGAATAATCTGTAGATTTGGTTGTCAATGTTTTTAAAGACAACCCGATATCACGTATTGCGCGTATTCCAGCACGTCTCAAAATCCTTGGCACCTATTACTCATGAAGATCTTTGTTGAGTGTGGAGTGGGATGCTTCCTGTAGGCTCTTGGTCCTCTTTATGTATGCCATTGAATGCTAATCGACTCGATACTTACTGGAGTCTTGGGATAGCCATGCTCTGGCACTCCGTGGTCTACGCTACTAGGTGTTGCAAGACTTTGTGGATCTGAGGGAGCTCTTCCCAGACAAGACTGGTACTAATGCTGTCTTTGGAGGGATGGGATTTTTGGTTGGTTCGGAACATTGCGTTCATTATTGAACATCACCTTTACCACTGCGCCAGTTTTCTTGATCAATGCCAAGGTTGGATGAAACTAAGTTTTTGAAATTATTAAGAATATATTGCAAAGAAATTTTAATCTTGGGATAACTGTAGAAGAAAAAGGATAAAATTTGCATGTTAATGTTTCCCACTACTTAGAGATCGCTTCTTCTTTAATCAAGAATAAGGATAACACTAACAGAATAGAACTTGCGAAGCGCAGTGGTATTCTGCAATGAACTATGATCTATATTTCTACTTAAATGCAGGCAAACCAAGTCATCCATCCTTCCAAGTCAGTAAAACTGTGCTAAATATGTCCTAAAGAAGCTTATGCTATTCTACAAATCACGGCGAGCACCGTGGTGAGAATTGGGGCGCTCAAGCAGATAGCTAGCCCAGAATTCCTGTAAGAATTATTTCCATCAGCATTCAACAACATTCGTGATGAGAAGAATGGAAAGTAGCAGCCGATATTAAAATAACTTCACAAACGACGAAAGCAAGACTAAAAGCGAATAAAAGGAGAGTTAGATTTTTCACAATGAGTGAAGATGAGTCATACAAATGGAATAAAGTGACCAAATAATGAAGGTAACGGTGGGTGGGAACGGGCTTAAAATATATTTTCCAAATTTTCTCAAATAATCCAGGCGTCTTGTTTCTGAAGATTTCGAAATATCTCGTCGACTATGACAGTATCGTAATAAGATTTGTCAACACGAAAGTAAACTCCAAAGTTGAAAGGCGGTCAGGTGACATAGGGGACGAAATACTCCTGCCGACGGATCGACCGCGACCAGAAGAATGAGACCTTTGTCCTGTCCTTTGAATAAGTGATCTAGCCCGGGTAATTCGCCAACGATGAATGTGTTCTTGAACTATTACAATGTAGAGCGAAAACTCACTCGAATATGTTTTCGCGCATGAAAACGTTGCTCTGGATCTTTTTCAGTTCTGTGTTCGAGCAAATGATCTCAGCTAGACTGGTCTTTCGCAACTCCATGAGTTGTTTATCGGTGAATCCAGATTTAGCGAAGTAGTTCTCGTACCAAAAACGATCACCTCGTCGAGTCTACAATTATTTATGTGATATATAGACACGCATTTTTTTGAGTGTTTTAAAGAAAGATGTAAAAATAATTCTGCAAATATGCAAAATAACACCAGAAAATTTGCAATTTCTGAATCCATAATATGCGGCATATGCGGCAGTCGTCTCTATTGAAGCTGATGCAAAAGCAGCGCTAGCGAAAACTAAAAGCTTCAAAAAGTACAAGAACGTAGTGAGGCGAGTTATCGGCAAGTGGAATTCCAAAGGTGTAATTTGCCGAATTTAATTTTTTTTTAAAACGTTGACGAGTACGAGGTTAATAGCTTTGGACTAAACAGTTTTATGACTTGTTCTTCCTCAACTGCTTCTTACCCTCTGAAATTGTTTGCCGGCTATACATGCCATGGTGGGCCCGAATAATGACCCTTTCAACGGTTTCTCAGCCAACACACCAACTAGCAGATCAATATCGTCCACATTTTCATAGATTACACTGATATAGTCGACTTTCGAGTCCCTTATAAAGTATTCTTTCAGCTCGCGGAACGATCGTACCTGAAGTTAGTTTCATTTGGAAACAATATGAAGATTTGTAATAACCTTGATTTCTATCATACTCTAGGCACTTTTCCTACTATGCCAACGAAAAATTTCGAAATTGAAATCATTGTCGGTGAAAGAGTACGTCGGAAGTTCTGTAACCTGCGATACCAGATGTAATACTAAATGACTAAGTGGTTTAAAGACGCTATTGGTAAAATAAATCAAGAAACTTTGTCAGATAGCACAACCGTGTCTTCGTCCTAATCTAAAAAGCCCAGCCACAGTCAGTGGTGACAACTTGAGAGGACCTAAACACGGGTATCTCGAGTACCCAGAGGAAATCGCGCACCATTTAAAATGCTGGTGGGAATAATGGGACCTAGTTATAGATAAACCTACATGTGAGGCTGACTAGTTCCGTGGATGATAACTGTGTATAGCAATAAATCGAGTAGAAAAAAAGCTGGGATCCGTTTCATGTGAAAAATGGGCTATCTAACATTCTAACTAAGTATCTTCTTCCAAAATAAAGTATCGTCGGTGACATGTAATACATTGGTTCTGCTCTTTTTCTGCCCATACTGGAATGCAGTTTGGCCACCCGATAAAGAAAGAGCAGTAGCCATCCCCTTGTTGCGGACAGGGGGTTAATCGCGAAGCAAAAGCGATCTTTGCATTCCTGCCATGAAGATGGATCCAGAGCACGGAGTCCCCATTTTTGCTTCACCAATTTGGCACATACCTTCTGTGTTTAAGGAAACATATTCAAGCATGCATGAGTGGGTGTGTTCTCGTTTATGTAGACCATATTCTATGAGTCAGTTCGGCCAAAACACGGAAATCGATTAACTGGGAAGTATATAAAGTAAAGTATATGGGAGTGGGAGCCACCGCAAAGATGTGAATCAATAACGCCTTTGACAATACTCGTCTTCTACGCACCGACATCAAGCTATGACGAACAAAGAGTCGAAGCGCTCTATATGGACTTAGAGAAATCCTTCAGAGTACACCATATATTCTTTAACGCCATCATTGGAGATTTCAACGCTAAAATTGGGCTCAGAGGAACATCTCAAGAACGTCGTATTGGGACTCACAGATTAGAATGGAACGAGGGGGGTGGGCGAGTGCTTGAGTATCATGACTACCAAGAATCTTTATGGTAATTTACAATTCCAGAAGCCAGTCCCCCACCACCTCAACGCTGGGGCGTGGAAGTCTGCTATTGTAGATTATCATGACGAAATAGACCACATCGTAATAAATCGAAGGTAGAAGGTAGAGCCTAGCCGATGTCGATGTTGTACCAAAATTCTATGGAGTAGCAGTTCATCGCCCTCTTTGTTCAAGCTTTCATTTTTCCTGGAAGAAAGAAAACGTAGCTAAACTCAAAAAACGATTTTCCAAAACCACCAGAAACTGGGAGTTATTCACTTTATTAGCTTGCTGTTGGCACGGTGACGTTCTTCATAACATCGCCAAAGGATACGATTGACCTATTCAACGACTTCACTTTAGTGCTATGAAAGCTGGAAGTTAGAAGGTTTCCAGACAGGCAGCAGAAAAAATCATTCACAACTACTACTCTTAACTCTTCAATAGCCACGCACTCCTGAACTCATGTCAGGACAAGATGGCTATATCATTCCACCAGTTCTCTCTTCCGAAATCCTACATACTATTTCGTCGAAACAGCACGAGTTCTGGAGAGGATAGAATCTAATCACCTGAAGAACCTTTCGCCACTCATCATAAACACACTGGCTCATTCATTCACGCTCAACGGTCCGACTACTTCCGAATGTTCCAGCTACGTTTATCTAGGTTAGGCATTCAATGTAGTGAACGGCTTAGCTTTAGGGTTTAGCATGAGGAAACGAACGACTTTGGGAGCTTTCAAGAGCATCGGGGAAGTAGTGAAGAAAGCAAAAAACACCCGACTCCGTGCCCATCTTCCCTACTCCATGAGTCCTCTTGTGTTAACGTCTGCGTCAAAAAACTGGTTGCTGAGTAAGTAGAATGAATGATCACTTAGCGTTATGGAACGCGCTGACGACGATGCTATCCCGCATCAAGCAAATGAAGGAATAGACCCGCAGCTCCAATCTTCGTCAACGATCAAAGGTCAAAGACGGATGTTTTTATGCCAAATTGTTGAGGATACGGTGCCGGAGAGTCGAGGATACGGTGGGCAATGAGTGCAGACGACAACTGGTGGACAAGAGCCGCTAGTGACTGCATTAATCGGGATGTCAAACTTACCGCAGTAAGATCACCGAACCGATTGTCAGAGTTCCTCACGAAAAGCGTAAAAAAATGGTATGGTGTTCAATGAGTCCCTAGAGCCAGCAGAACACACCGGGCTAATTTTGCACGCGACAGGAAAAAATGGTAGATTTACTGGAGGTCGTTAGAGTCACTTGACGATGAACGGGACAACAGATGATGCTGCAGATGTCATATACGAGGAACACTGGAAATATTCATTCTGTTACCTACGCAATCATTCAACTTCTCACTCGTGCGATTCTTTAGCAGAACCAACCAGTGGTAAGTGATTTGAAGCACAGTAATGCATGCAAATTGAATTATAAAAAAAAAACTTCGTAGGATTGTTGGCGCCTAAAGAGTTGAGAAGTGCCAGAAATCCCATTTTTTTAGCACTCCACGAGAAATTAAGCACCGCCATGAAGTCCATTAAAACACAAAATTATTGAGTGGGAATGAATGCTAAAAAGAAATTGGAATGGACATTTGGCGAATACCGTACTACTGGACGCAAAAAGTAAGCGACGTTCGAGCCTACAAAAAACTTCACATTTAGTAAAATTGGTGGTGAAGACAGAGAACGCCTGACTCAGTGCTCATGTTTTTGACTGCGCAACTCCTTCCTGCCACGACTGTACTCAGAAAATCCAGCGTTACATAGCATAGGCATAAGGGGCCACAGACTTTATAAATGCGACATGAAACATTGTTCGTGATTCTCGCATATCAAAAGCTCAATAGGTAGGTTAGCAAGTGCAAGGAAAAGAGGCGATGCTGACCCAGGATGCACTTCTCATGCATGATTAGCTAAATAGCTTCGAATGCGATAAATTACGTGGACTTTACCTAGTTCGCCTCATATTTTGTCTCATATGACATTCGTTTACAGAAATTCGTTCCTTGTTTACCTTGCCTAAGCCGCAGTGAGCACGCACGGCGGTGTAGGAATGTATGCCGTGATCCCGTCCTTGTTTTAAAGCGATAGAGACCAGATCCAGACCAATATCCAGATTATCTTTGAAGAATTCACTTTTTATCTCGTCATTCATCCTCAGCGATGGTTTCGTGATATTCGTCGACATTAAAGTTCTGCAATATCCATGTATTTTTGTGGAATTCATTCCAAAATGAGCTCTCTGGTATCAAGAAAATACATTCGCCACCGTACTAGTCGGGAACTCTTATAATTTTCTGATAGCATGAGTATTTGAAGAATTTAGAGCATCACTAGTCTACAGAAGAGATCTTTATCTACCGTCCTAAAAGTGTATACCGTCAATTTGTACTGCTAGTTCATTTTCAAGGTTACTTGAACGAAACCCCGGTTGTTCATTATATTCGTTGATCGTAATGCAATCCTTGGACGAAGGAAAAAAGGAAAAAAGTAGACGGTTTGTGACTCCAAAAAAATTAGAATTTCATCTTGACGGAATGGGTCTGTAAATTCTAACGGTTGTTATTCAAATTAGTCAAGCGTGCGCTATGATCAGATTGGAAATTATTCTCGAACACGCATCGAAATCAATGCATGGAGCTACGAATGATCTAATGTCATTAACGAGATAAGTTCCCATAAAGTAATAGCGAGGGCTAAACTTCAGAGTCGGATAAAAAATATCGGCAAAATTGAGGTAAACGCGCTTCCGATAAAATCATTTTTGGCCAAAAAATCATTTCTTGCTAACAATAACGATGTTCTTCAAAGGACTCTCATGAGGGACTTTTACTCTGTCTTATTTGTACGGATTGCTGTTCTCACCTAAGTATATTCTCGATACCGCGATGTTCATACAATTTTCCAGGATTGTTAAATGAGGAGAACATTTTATCTTGAGGTAAAAGGGACCAGAGAATATAAGGGAAGGTGACGGCGAATTCGTTCAGCACGGAGCCTTCAACAGACATGTCGTAATCGGAATCGAAACCAGATTCATGCAACGAGAGTCCGTATTTTCTGAAAGAATAATTGAGAAATTCGAAATAAAACCACGATGCTCATCAAAGCGATTCAAAGCAACCATTCGTATTGATTTTTGGACCATCTTCAAGAAATTCTAATACGTTGAGTGGAACATATATGCGTCAGACTATCAGATCTCCCAAAGCATTCTTTAAGAAAGGGTCCTAAACTGTGTGTGCAAAACCCAGACACAACTTTGTGGTTCTTCAATTGCTGTTATCCAGAAAAAGACAAAAAGTTTTACTTAATTTTGAGGTCCATAGGATACGCTCCTTGAAGAAGGCTTCAAGATTCCAAGCTTATCGATACCTCATCAGAATACTTTCTAACTTTCTGTTTCATATCTTACGTGAATTGGAATTAAGCTCAAGACCTCTGCTTCATACCCAAAAATTATTAACATATCAGAAGCGATATGATTGAAACAATTCATACTTTTTACACCAAAATTCTTTTATACAAAGATGTAATACGGTCAAAAAAAATTATTACACTATGTCTCTTGTATACTCGATTTACCAGTACCAGGATCCACTACTGCCCTGGTATCAGTAGCATGGTGGCAAATCTTCCTCTGATCTACAAGAGCGTCAACTGCTTCTGGTGGCAAATGGGGCAGACTTTCGCCTGGCTGACCTCGGGACTCCAGGGAAACGATGACTAAACCGGCAAAACTCCGAAAAATGGAGATTGTGCTGTGGTCCGCACAACAGGGAGGCCGCCCAAGTATTCAAGTGAGACTCGATTTATATGAAGCGCCATGTCTAAGTTAAATTTCTCAACATTTTAGTCGAAGAGAAACGACCGTTGTCACCCTTCGAAATGCTTAAAGGGCAAGAAGAGTTATAGGAACATGGGTAATATCCCCAGTTGAACGTGAATGACTCTCAACGAATTTTCCATGCATGATAGGTTCTGGTTTATTGCTTGTTTTACCAAATTATGTTGGATTGTGGCACTTTTATGTTTTTTAATGAAAAAATTTGCCAAGCATTCCAGAAGTAGCATGTTGACACTTTGTCTGTTTTCATAGAACTGAAAAAAGACAAGTAGAAGAAGACAGAACTAATTTTAACTGATGCTCTCAAACAGGTGAACATAATTCCTTATTGATGGTATCTTCAGATTCCAAAGACTTCCATTTCCATATTTTTCCTAGTAAACCGATCCTCGGGTCGGATGATCAGAGCGGGTTTGTGCTTTCATCAAGCAGACCACCACACACATCCTATGTGGAATAGGAATATAGTGCTCTTCAATCTTTCTTTCATACAAACTTACTTAATGTTTTCCTTTCCGACCATAATTGGAATAAACTCGTTATAGGTGATGTGCTGCAGCTGGGCGGTCACTATTCGGCGAGCTTCCTCGAAAAGTCGGGCATCCAACCAGTGACGATTCTGCTCCTGAAGAACACATCTCCATATCTTTTCCTTATTGGTTTACGTTCATCTTAAAATGCATCAGGAATTTGTAAGACAAAGCAAACGAACTCGAAGAAGATAATACCAGATCAGTTGATAAATTCAAGTCATTGTATAGTACAGTAATGTTATTAAACCGTTCAGTTAAACTCTAAATGGACTATTCTATCCTAGTAGGAGCTTGCGTGAATAACAATGACGTGTACCTGACCTTTAAGAGACGTGCTATTCGATTGTGCTGTTTAATAAAAACAGTATGAAGAGCGGTTACACCAGGAAGAATATTCACGTCATCAGAACCAGAAAGAGAACAGCTAAACAACAAATCGTAAAAGAAAATAGGTCATAATTCAAATGGCTTTTGATAAGCTCAGTTTTAGCGGTTGCAAAGCGGCTGATTTTCCGGTGACCGGCGATAATTCCTTGAATACTAAAGCACTTAAAGAGTTCAAAACTTTATAAATTTCTAGAAGAAACTTTGTCCTATCATCAATCGCATACACAATTTCTATACAACTCTTTGCAATTTTAAGCATGTTTGTATTTAGAATTTTCGAGAAACTGATGATGCAGCCTAAACTCTGTTTTAAATTCCAAACGCAAGGGCGATACATTGGGGGACACCATCGTATCATTCCGGACGAAATAGCGCTTGCTCATCTAGTTCCATGTTGGGAATAGAATATGCAACCAACAAAAATCACAAAATTATATAGAACTGATAAAGTGATAGGCATACCGTCCCTCTTTCTGACATTTCCCCTTCACATCAATTTGAGGTAACTCGCCAAGGCCTCCATATGTTCGAAGCTGACCTGTGTTCTTAGCAATTTTATTAAATTATGTATTGTGAGACTAGTTACAATTATCTCGCTACACCTGATCATATCTAGAAGTTTTTCTTCAGTCTTTTAATATTCAACAAAGCTAAATCGGAATCAATTTTTGACATATACCAAATGAAAATTGAGCAGGAAGAACCTTCTACATGCTTCTATCAAACCACCTTGTAAAAAACTGCGCATTTGCTTAGCTCGCTCCGGACTCGAGCCATATATGACACTACCGTCGAGATAGGATGAGACCATGTTGGCCTGTTCACGAGGACCAAGAGCGCAGGCCAATCTTGGTGCCACCAACGTTCGGGCGTGTGGGATGCATGTTACCCGATTCCTGAAACACCATACGAATAGGTCGTTTAACTCGACTCGGATCAACGCGGCTCTGAGGCAGGAGAGAGTGCCGAAGCGCTAGCCGAATAAAACTTTGTGCCAATCTCGTGTTAGCTGAATTATGTAAAAAATTATTGAATATTTTTTGTCGAGATTTAGTGGAAGTCGATTCTTAGTAATGGTTGGGATAATTTTAAAACAACTTTTACACTAAAAACAAGTTGAACATCAAAGAATTACATCAAATAAAGGAAGCAGACCTCAGCCATGGGAAGGAGTTCCTTCTTAACTTACTGCTAGAAACACCTTCAACTAGAAGTGATAGTTGTAGAAAAAGTCCTTTTAGAAGTATTGAAAACATTTCCATTACACTCAGAAATTTCAGAGCTTAATTTAGACGAAAAAATATACCCATTACTTTCAACTGCGAAGTAATTACTGTGACCGTCTATATGTAAATATACAGAAAAAACAAGGCGTATTCAAAACATGGCTAGAAAAAGGATAAAATAGATCAAACATCTGCCTATAAATATCAACAACGATATTCGAGAGTGACCTCGTAAATGGGATGACAGTCTTAAACAGAAAGAAGGTAGCCAACGCCCTGTGATTAACTATAAGCAGTTGGAGACGAATAAAAAAGCAGAACCAGGTAAAATAACAGGTAAGGTTTGAAGAAGGAAAAAGGAACGGTGTAGTTATTGACGCTATAAAGCAACAGCGTTGTATATGAGAGAAGCACTCACTGTGGATCGGTGGGATCTTTTCCCACTCACCTCACCACTCATAAAGGATGAAAGGATAGAGTTTTCATGGTTGACAAATGCATGAAGGATGTGCCATGCATTCGACTTTCCTAAGTGTCGTAAGAGATGACTGTTATGCATGTCTGACCTAAATAATGACTTGCGGTGGCCTACCGATGTATGGAATCAGTGCTTCTATCATACCAGACAAGTCTGGTACCAACTAGGCGGCCCGAGAGGGACGGAAGGCTTGCTGAGCCTGTGGTGCAGGATCTATAACATATGTACTGCAGAGCGGCTCTAAACATTGCGCCAGCGCCACACTCGCCCTCTCACCACTCATTAAGTGAAGAATTCAATCCAAATGTTGTATTCTTGCACTATTTCTCTTTTCCTTCTTATATGATGACGAAGTGATTTTCTAGTATACGAGTGAACGACTGACTGAATCTTCTTTGAGATAAGAACGGGTGATTAGAAGGCGTTCATAAGCGTTGCACTGTGAGAATATGATGTCTCTGAATAAGCCGAAGTGATTGGAGATTTGCATTACCGAAGGTGATCTTTCCTCCTAACGGGGAACAAATTCGGCAGATGTGCCGCAGAAAATAACAAGACATTGTTGCTGCGCTTGTAATGACCGTCGATTCGCTAGAAATGCAGTGAGTAGAATAACATTATCAACATTGCAGATAACGTGGCTCATTATAATATATGTTTCAAACTTGTCATAAATGTTAAGGAATATTTTTGCCGTGGACATGCTGAGAATCTTAACTTTCATTCCTCCGTCGTAACTGAGTGAAAAGTTAGTGATGGAGGGCTATCCATAGTGCAAGCACAGCTAGTAAAGACAGAATGTTGAGAAACAGGAAAAAATGTGAACTTGATATTCGGCGACAGCGAGAGGATTTCTGTTATTTATTCCCTATTCCACTGACAGGTTTTGTGCTAAGTTGAGATATTTTTTTTATTTGATCTGTCTTTATGTTTACTGTGCAGATTCCAGCACTTCTCACAACCAGTTCGTTTCCTCTCACCCATCGTCCACGAAGATCTACCAACTTTTACGTGTGGCATCGGTTGCTGCTTGAGGATTTCCCTTTCATCTTGAATACCGTTGAATGCTGGTCGAGCAATTCACCCTGGAATCTTGAGATAGCCGGGCTGCAGCGTTCTCAGTTCGATTGCAGAGAGTAATCTTTTCCAAGAAAGTCCGGTACCAATTTCCCGACCCAGCAAGAATGAGAGCCTTGGTTGACCCGAGGTGGAATCGAACCAGCACCATGTTCGTGATGACGGACATCACCAGTATGCTATCCGCCTCATTAAACTGAGATATACTACTTTACAGTTACAGTGTTGTTGGAAACAGTAATTATTTTTACTCTAATCCATGAAATTCTTGCATGCACCATCAAAAGTGACCGTAGAACTAAGTGTGTTTGAGGACGAATACGTTTGTGAAATGAGGAGACCACTATGTCTCTGTGTGAAAGGGCGCCCACACACAAGCGTAAAGTTGAACAAAATACTGCAGTAGGCGAACACGGAGGCATTATGGTGAAGATTTTGAGGTAGAAGTGATTATCTTCGCAGAGGAATCTAAAATCTCAACGTCTAAAACCCTCGAAGCGTTCTGGATAAATTCTAAGAGTCCAAAAATGAACCGCAGACAGGGGTGTTTCGTTTTCACAAGTGATCTCAAAAAAAATCTCGGACTGATATTTTGACATGAGAAGAGACTGTTGCCCATCCATGTGGATTCTGTATGGTTGGTTTTCCCGTGGAATACCCAGTGTAAGACTCAAAGAAAGGGATGAATGTGTGAAGAACCTGTTTTTCTTCGATCCTATCAAAATCTTGGTATCCTAGTTTTTCTGTTGAGGTTTTAGTTAAGTTGACCTTTCCAGACTATGAAGATGAAGAAATCTGCAGAAAGGTTAGCTTTTGAGGAAAAATAAATAGTATGTATAATCTCGTACATGCTTAGCAAGAAAACAGCGAATTCTTGAACAATTCAAAGGCTAATGGAAACTCGGTCTTGAGAATAAATATAGAACTACTAAAAAAGCCCAATAGAAAACCCGAAGATATATAAGAGTTTAGACCCTTAAAAGAAGCAACATATCGAAACTCTCCAATATTTCTCAATATACCTATAAGCCGGATCTGCCTTGGGAACTTCTATAGCGTCGCACTCTGGGTGAGAGAAACCATGGCGACAACAAGGAAGTGGACGCACAACGCCTGAATGTTTCGCACAATTAAACAAGAAAAACATGAAGTCTCTTTCATTTTGGACTTTTTCTAAGTATAAATATGTGATCGTAGTGTTAGTATTAGGAATTATTAGGACGTAACAATACAACAGGACATTACAGGTAACACTAGAAGTAGCCCAGCGCGAGATTATCATGAGGCATCAGTGCATTCAATACGCAGCATCGAGAGACTTCAAATATCTATTGCTTGCCACCAACACTCGCAAACTTCTATTTCGAAACCGACCTTCCCTAAACCTCGGTGTGATTAATCAATATGTACTCTTTCTTGATAAGCTTACACGAGGTTGATAAATATATTTATTTTCGGCTAACGTTTCGACGTCTTCGTCTTCCTCAGAGCCGGTGATCCGAGTCGATGGTCCCTGCTTGTTGTTCGCCTCGACGTTGCGTCTTCGCCTTCGTGTCGAGCCAGATCTTCTTCAGTGAGCCATCTTCTCGAATGAGGCATCCTCACTCAGTGATGCCCTTTTATACACGATGCTGATGGTGGATATAAAATGACAATGTCCGGTGGTAACAACTTGTATTTCTTCCGGACATACATCATTGCGCACATCGTGCAGAGGTCGGTGTATTATCAGCTAGCACAAAGCGTAGTAATATTTCGAAACCGACCTTCCCTAAACCTCGGTGTGATTAATCAATATGTATTCTTTCTTGATAAGCTTACACGAGGTTGATAAATATATTTATTTTCGGCTAACGTTTCGACGTCTTCGTCTTCCTCAGAGCCGGTGACTCGCAAACTTCGTTATTTAGGCACAATCCATAGTTTCCCACTGAGTTAACTCTTTTTCCATAATGTATAATAAATTTTGATTTCACAATAGTCTCCAGCTTCGGAACCCTATGAATCAGCTTACGGTGGATATAAAGATAACACGTTTTCGTTTATGTACTATCGAGCCACTATGGGGAGGGCACATCAAAGGTAGAATATCCTGTAAATGGCTGAAGCTCGATCCCAGAATATATGAAATGTCGATAGATTCCAGATGACTCCCAGAATTTCCCACTTCGAAGGTTACAAAAAGTACTGTAATCCGAAGAGGTACTAATACCATAAGACAGGATCATTTCTAGTTTCAACAAGTCAATCGAAGTAATTGTTATGGAGAAAATATTTTAGTGAAAAAATACAGTGAAAGTTGCAAATGTATAAAAAGGACAAGAGTAAAAAGAAATAGAATAAAAGATATGGAATAAAAATTAGAGATATTTTCATAGAAACGACTTAATTTAATACTTCTTTGTTGAAGTGCTACATGCTGAAATAAGGTGAGATGAATGAAGAAATAAATTCGGGTTACGATTACCATCAATTATCGCTTGAGTCTCAGCCAAGTTGACCATGTCAGAAGAGATGAATTGCATCCAGTGCGCAAACAGAGTAGTTACAGTAGGATGGGCCTAAAGTACTGCCATATCGCAGTGCTGAACCAACGAAAATGAGCAAAAGAAGTTTTTGCAACAAGCCGCTTAAAAATCAATGACACTTGAATCGTTTCTGGTTCAAAAAAAACATTACATTTGCTAACGGAGTGAATAAAGTGAGCGAAAGACTGCGCACAGGTGGTAAAGGTCTACCACTGACTGCTTCACGTGGTAGAGAAACTCCTGAAAAGTAATAGGATTAGCTATTATATATATTTAAATAGCCTAAAAATTTTGAACTATGCAAGGAGTACCTAACGAAGTAAGATAGAAAGGCAAGAAGGAAAGGCTGCGAGAAAGACAAAGCAAAGGCGTCGGTTAGTGTTGTGGACAACATGTGAGCTCCCCGAAAAGAGCAATCATGGGCTCAAAGAGCACCTGAGGTTTCGAGTCCTGCTCATATCTCGGCATCATTGCGGTTGCATTTCACATTGTAATTTAAACAAAGAGTGAGGGAAGAAGAAGAAGTGTTTAACAAAGTCGACTGTGTTCCAAATTGTCGTATTCATTAGACTTCTAGAGTTTACATTACTGTGACTTAACGTATGTTTATCCATGTCATGCTGTTGGCTCCCTACGAGCTTTTGAAAAAAGTAAGACTATGATTAGATGTTAACTCTTCACAACGAAAGACTTTGTAGCTCGAGATTTTGAGCAACGTCACATTTCCATAATAGAACAGAGAACTTATTTAAGACTTAACTTTGATGACAGTATGATTAAGTTGGAATAGAAGATGTTAGATAGATAACAGAATCATATGAATAGATCTTGCTGTTCAAGTAATAAGACCACGATCAACAAAAAAACACCTAGATGTTTCTTCGTCTGCGCATACCAGAAATATGTGCAGGTGATATTTCGTTCCAGTTCACGTTATCACGGTCATAAGCACACATGAAATAATCCACCCTCGCGGATATTTGGAAACAGATGTGTTTCTGGATAGATTTTCATACGAATTTTCTGGATACATCAACAAAATATTTTCTATAAACAAACCGTCTTCATAAGCTGGTTTGAGCATTCGTGACAGAGCTGTGTGAGAAGTGCCCCACTCTGGTTGAGCAACATTGTTACAAACACCGGAGTATGACCTGAAAATGAAGCAGAATTATCTGCGTAGCAGAATCCGCCATCTAAAAAAAGATTGATGTCGGGTGTAATTGACCCAGAAAAATATATTCGGTAGCTGCAGTCCATATATGAAGAATCGTTGGTACATTCTCTTTGTAAATCATAAGCAATGCTGATAAAAATCACAATCCAGGAAAAAGTCGTCGGTAAAAATACCTGTAGTATGTAGGCGGACATACTTCTAGCCTCGATGTAGGACAATTACCAATTGATGACGACACGTGACTTGGATCGATACCGAAACGAAGCTCTCGCTCCCGCAATCCCAACCTGTTTTGAACTGCTATTATGTTCTAAGAATTACAGACGCGCCAATACGAAGTCATTTCAATTCGTAAAGTTATTACTCATAAATAACCTTGCAGTAATTATAGTATTTTGAATAACGTGTTTCTAGAAGATGAACGATGGATACAAAATATGGGCCGCCTGTTCTAAAAAGATTTCAAAATTTTTCATAAATTTCTAACATTTTCCCTTTTGCAGTTACCAACTCCGCATACGCTTTGTTTAGTACCCGCTTAATTCCAAATTTTCTTATCTGTATTTCTACATAACTTGACATCCCATATTGTGCGGACCCCAGAAATCTCCCAGAAAGACTTTCAGATTTCTCATCTAGTTCAACTGCTGCTTGAGAATTTTGATCTTCTCGATAGTCGTTAAATGTTAACCGAGTCTATTCTCTTTTAACCCTAGAGAAGCATCTCAGACAAGCCTGGTACCAATTCTCCGACCCTGGAGAGATGAGAAGTTTGCCTGGCGTGGGGTGCGTCGATCCAGGGTCGCTAAGTGGCATTAATAGTACCGCGCTACTCGTTTTCCCTTCTTTCAAAGTAGACATTCATAATTTCGGAAAAGAAACTTGTTCATCTTTTTTTGAGTTTGCAGCGTCTCTCTGTCCGAATTTACAACGTTTTGCCTTAATGGGACTCTCCTAGTGCGTCATTTACCAATTTCGGAATCTTTACTCCGTATGACAACTCACCGGTATGTCTGCTAACCTTATTTTTAAAATCGTAAACAACAGAGCTATTAATTGCCTTTATAGTTGCCAATAAACATGGCACCTATGGTTTTAGTCGCTTCGATATAGAAGTCTCTCGACAGTGACAAAAAAACAGTACAACGCGCCGCAAAAGTGGCCAAATAAATGAATGTTGCGGACGCGAAGTAGCAACGAAACATATAAAATGAGTAGTCAAATCTTACTGTATTTCCTAAATGTTTACCGAAAATTCTGCTTTGAAATCGTAAGACTTTTCTTCTGTGCTATCACCAAGAACTCTACTCGTCCACTAGAATGGCAGTCCAGTGCCAGACAATCACCCAAGATTTCAAGAGTTCTAATCTCTAACTTGTCCTTTCAGCTGTTTTTTGTGTACTAATACGGGTAACTATTTCACAGAAACCATAAACTACCGATGAGACAAAAAATACCTGGTTACGGCAGCCAGTTGTACTAAAATATGCATGTTCTTCCGGTATGTCGAAACTCGACTGTAGCGAAAACTTGTTTTTGAACATGAAGATGCAGTGCACTGCCGATATTCATGCTCCAGCAGCGATAAACACACAGCGTTGAAGAATAAAAGTGTGCTCGGAAGAATGACCACCGTCTGAGGAATGCGTCATGCAACCAATCATACCAAGCACCGCTAGACCTGATTGAATGAAAATGTGCCCTATACAATAGGCTACCTGCCACGAATCTTCATAACATAAAGAACCACAGGGATAGATCCACAACCGGTTAGTTACGAGGCTACGTGACGCGACTTCAAGAGGGGACAGAGGATCAAACATGAGCCAAAGGCGACTTTGTACTTCTTGAGAAGTGTGAATTCAAGAAATGGACTCCGTTTCTGCTGCGCCCATTTTGCACACGTTCTGCGTTTACGCAGACAAGTGTACGAAAACACACCACGGATATGTTTACATGCTTATTGTATTCTACAGGTCAATTCTGCCAAAACCCTGCAATCAAGTGGTTGAGAAGCACGTCGAACGTGGAAAAGAGTCGCTTCTAACAAACAAGCTATATGTCTGCAATGAGACTTACTCCATTCGCCAAACATTAAGAAAAAATGGGCCTCATTCCCTGTCTCTCAAAGGTACTCGACGGAGCACCGTTAATGAAACGAGTACGGAGAGGCTACTAAAATCCTAGAGCCATTCTTATTTACTTGGATACATGGCCTTTCCTCACTGGCTGTTCGGACCCAGCACAATTTCGGTTTTTTCGGAGTTCTGCTGGTCTAGTCATTGCGGTTCCCTAGAGTCCCGAGGTCAAATCGGCCAAGGTTTACTCCGGGTCTTCACCACCACAGGCAGTCGCCGCCCTTGTGGATTAGGAGGAGGTTTGCTACTAAGCGATTAGTTTGATACGAGGACGTCGGTGGATCCCGGTTTACTCTTAGCTGGGCTTCCTGATGGAAACGACCAGCTTGGGAAACCCTACTGGGGGATGGATCCACCCGCTGTACATTGCAACCTGACACCGAGGAACACCTCCCATCCACGACGAGGCGATAAGCCCTTAGGAGGAGAACCATTATAGGCTATCTTAATCTGGAAGACTCTAGTGACAATTTGTACAGAAACGCACGCGCACTACCATTTGGAACTTCTATGAGAAAATCATAATGCAAGTTAAGAGATTAGGGACGACCTCACCTAATTAGTTAAAAAACGAAAAGATTTACCTTTAAAAATTGTTTGTGATACTAGAAAAGAAGTATTCCTCAAAACATGCGACAATAAAGAGGCCTGCTTGAAACCTAGCCCTCATGATTTGGCTATGGACATCGATTTCTGTGAACACACAATGAGCAGAATCCGACACCTGTCGTTGAAGAAATCTGGATCAACAAGCTTCCACACTCTTCGCCCTTTACGCAACGGCATCAAAAAGACGAAGCCAAAGCGTTCTATATGAACTTGAAGAAGTTCTGTAGAGAAGACAGTACATTGCTTAAGGTCATTATTGGCGATTTCAACTCTAAGATTTGAACCAGGAAAATGTTACAATGTGACGAACGAGACGAAATCACAGTTCCAGAATCCCTGCTCTCAACGCTGGACGAAGAAACCTCCCAACGGAAAGGACCATAACGAAATAGACCCGAAGGTTTTGCCTAATCGATGTCGCTGTTGCCCAAATTTCCATACAAGATTGGACCAATGCCTCGTTCCAACAGGGCTCCTTTTTTGCGGAAAGGACAAAAAGCTGTTAAATTGGAAAAACCAATTTACAAAACCGGCATAAAACTTAGGAATATTCAGCTTTTAACAATGGGAAATAAGACCAACGTAATCAACATTTTCGCCGCTAAGAATGCTGGCGAACCAACATGATGAACGACATTACTCTGGAGTTGAGCAACAGGAAACAGGCGTGTAGGGAAACTTTCAACACCATGGAGGAAGTAGTCAGGAGAACAAAGAACATCTGACTCCGTGTCGACCTTTTCGACTCCACGATTCTTCCTGTTTAAAGTATGCGTCAGAAACCTGGTCGCTACGTAAGCAGGGTGAAAGGTCACTCCGCGTTATCGAATGCGTCGTCAACAGAACAACGATATTGAGTTTCCTTTGTCATGCGAGTGAGAGAGCAAGTAAGAAGTTCCCACCTACGTATAAAACCAAAAATCAAAAACCATGGTTTGCGCTCCACAATATCAAAAATGGCGCAAATCGGACGCGTGATGCCGCTAAACTACAATCGGTGGACAAGAGCTGTGAGAGACTGGGTTCTTCGGGATGTCAAACGCACAGCAGGAAGACAAACGACGCAATGGTCAAAGATCTTCATGAAGACACTAGAAAAAAGATCTGTTGCTGGGTGAGTCCCTGAAGCAGGAAGAACTCACTGGGCTACTACTACATGTGAAAGTGATAAACAGAATATTGTAGGAGCTCGTTCGAGTTCCTTGACGATCAATAGGATGACGAGTGATTCAAGCACAGTGTCTTCAAATTGCCTACCGATGTATCAAGTCAGTGCTGCTATCCTCCCAAACAAGTCTGCTATTAAATGGTTGACCCCGAAGAGATGAACAGCATTTCAAAGAAAAAAAAAAGCACTAGCTTGAACCCAAAGACTTTTTATACACCAAACATTCATTTAATCACCTTTACAATTCCTAGTGGAGAGTGCATGGCGCATCGCGAAGGGAACATTCATTGATCAAAGCCGAACGGTTTATTCTCTTGTCATCTTATTTTCACATCGACGACATCACTGGGGTAGGAACTGTGCGCATCTTTTTTGAAACGAAGCAATATGGATAATCGTAGCGTGGGTTAAAGAAAAGCAGATTCACTTCGACATTGAACGCAAATTCCGAGAGGACCGATTTGCCTATCACTCAAGTAAAGTGTCTACAAAGACCGAGAAGGATAAGCAAATAAAGTAGAATTTGTTCCTATGCTTTTATGAAATTAGGAGGCTTTGAATCGAGTCGATTGGCTTGGAATAACTCACAGTGTGAGCCGCCTGGTGATCGCTATGGAAGCATAGGCGGACTTGCTTCGTTCGACAGCGCTCTTGTCGACGTGGTGCATGCTCGTCCATTGCTCCACAGTGGTTGCCAGTGGGTGGCCTTAACACAACAAAGAAGAAAATGTGTTGATGAAGGAACTCGATATACCAATGGATTTTTGACTTCTCGCATATGCCTCCACTGTATAAATAAAAATGAAGCGGGAAACTCTATCAATCTGATATGCCCTTGTTAATGAGATTAGAAATCAAGTTTTTATCACGTAATACGATCTTAACCCCGATTAGAAAGAATAAAAGCTACGAAATGAAGTAAAATCTTTCAATCAGCGTATGAACGACAATATGAGTCTTGAAATCTCCCATGAACACTGAAGAATATGGCGGACAAAAAAAATTCAATCTTCACAACAGAATATGTTACAGGTCTCTCAAGGGTTCTTCATTGAAGTACTCATCGCGGTAACTGGGTATTCTTAACTGGACAGCTGCAAATGGGGAGCAAAAAACACAACCCTCACCAGAATACGAAAATCCAGGATCTGTATAGTTGAAGAGAGCGTGTACTTCTTTTTTTGCCTCATTAGTAGCAACCCAAAATAATCCGTCCGGTATACGATGTGAAAGTACGACTCCTACAAAATAACCTTAGACCATTACGAAAAATTGACAGCAGGTATAATGAACTTGGCACCACTCTTGATACCTTTTCTGCTTTCTCCCTTTATTAAAATAAAAAAAAACCAAAAATTTTTGGAGAAATAAGATTTTTCTTGTTTTTTTTAAAACTGCAGTCGTAGAATTTGAGAAAACCCACGGTTCTCTTTGAGAAACGGCGTTACCGACTTAGCGCCTTCATTTTGACACGGTAGAAACGATTTGCCGCAAGGTATGTTTGAGCCGATACACAGTGGAACTAGTAACACAGACCAGATGGCCATCTGGAACGTGGTGCTGTTAGTGAGTTCCAATTTCAGATACAGATTAACCCAGAAGTGAAGAACTGAGTTGAAGAACCAGGAACGTCGTGATCTCTCAAGAACAGGAGATGAGTGTTTGGAACCAGATGTTTATTTTCTGGAAACGAAAAGGAGAACCCACGCCTTCCTAATAATGGCATGAGAAGAAATGACCGTTTTCCTCCTTTCACATTAGTATGCACAAATCTCGCCCTGAATACAATCTCTGGATCGACTCCAGCTTCTATCTACTCTAGCTTTTATCACGATCGAGCCGGTTATTTGGTAGCAGACTAGCAGACTCCTCCACTAACCGTAAAAATATAAACTTATTTTGTTTAATGACCTCTTATAATAAATATAGAACCAAATTTGAAATCGATTACTTTTAGAATACTCGAACAATGGGAGTGATTCACAGTGTTTGCCTAAAAATTATCTTTATCTTCAGTTAGTAACTTTTTTCATTATCCTTTGCCAGCATGCAAAAATTTCTCCTGCTTTTTCATTTGTAAAGACGACACATTCATGAACATCATTGCGGATTTTGAGTTAATCCTGAAAATTGGGCTAAGAAAAGAAAGTTGCTGTGGTTTTGATTTCAGTTTGAAGAAGCGAAATTTGGGACAGAGTACCTATGAGGTGACTAGACGTTTTCACTTCCGCATCACTGTAGTCAAATTGTCACTACATAATGAAAAGAAGTGACCAGAAGAAACTTTACGAATTCCTAGCAATTTTGCACATAGACGTTGGAGACGAGGAAGCAATTCAGTAGGTAATAAAAGTACTTCTAGGACTACCACAGCAATTATGACCGGCTCGACTGTTTCCTCCACAAACAATAGGCTTTTAAGCTGGGGCGAAGCACATAGTATGACGACCTGTGAAAGGAAACGGAAAGAATGAAAGCCACATACAGTATCGAAGGATATTCAGAATTTGAGTTTTATGGAAACAAGACCAATGCTTTATTCAAATAATAATTTGATGCTATCATCAATTCTCTACACTACAAAAAAGTGGTGACTGGAGGAAAACTAAAATTCCGACCTTCTTAAAAATTACGTCGCTAAAGTATCTTATAAGCTTTGTATTGTGCTAAAATAAACAAAAAAAGCCAACATGACCGAATCTCAATGTCAATGCTTAAGGTATCCCAAGCAGGCAACTAAAGCTAGGCGAGAGTTGAAGCGTTCGCTTCCTCCACCTTTCTCAGAAAGTTTTCCAAATGCATTCCTTGTTGGAAACCTTAGTAGGTTCACGTTAAAATAAGAAGTACTCCGATACATATGACATTGTCACATGACACAAGGTTTCAAGCAAATCAATTAGATTTTGCCCAGGATTCTGTCGCATATTTTGCACCTATGAAGCACTACTTATATGGCTAGTCGGCAATACTCCTTAAAGGAGTGCTGGTCAGTCTTCAGATGGTCTTGGAAGTATCTCGAACTTTTGAGGGTAGTGGCAATGGGAAAGAGACTGACACCAAGCCTTACCATTGCCTTTATGTCTGAGGCGGAAGCACCAGCAATCAATCTCCGGCTGTAACTCTACTGTAGATATGTAGATGATTGCTTTGTCATCTCCTCCACATAAGAGCAGACGGAAAAGTGTTTTAAGTTACTGAATGAACAGTCAGAGTAGATTAAGTTTACTGGAGAGAAGCCGAAAGAAAAGTGGCTTCCATTTCTGAGCGTTGAAATTAACCCATACAAAAACGGCTACACAGCAAAGTGGTACTGAAACCCAAGTAATAAAAATATACTGGCTTATTTCTTCTACTCTCACGCCTCACCTACAAAGAGTGCGCTTATAGCAAAATGTTTCCAAAAGCCACCATTGCGTGTCCAGAAAGAGAAGAGTAGGAAAAATCCCTGAAACTGGCGCGGCAAATACTCACTTCCAATGGATACAAGACTGTAGGTTCTGGGGATAGCTCGAGAGGAAGAGAAAGATTTTGAAGCAGAAATTATCTTTCTCACATAGGAATCGAAAACTTAAGCAAGCAAAACTCCGAAGGCATTCTGGGTTGATTCCAAGTATGCGAAAATCAACGACAGGGAAAAATGCCTCGTTGTCACGAGTGGTCTCACACGTTATTCAAAACTGATATTTTCTGTGAAAGACACATTACGCTTCCATGTGATCTTTGTGCAATTGGTCTCCAGGTGAAATTCTCTATGGCCGACTCATAGAAAGCGGTAGGTCTGCGAGGAAGCTATTTTGTTTTCGACGCCATTGAAAGCTTGGTTTCCTGGCATCTCTATTTTGGTTATGGAGGTGTTTGGCCAAGTAGATTACACTCAACTTGACCTTCCTAGCCTCTGAAAATAGCAAAATCCGCCGAAATGTCGGCTTTTTTCTGAATAAAGTAGAATAGAATAATAGAATAGCAACGTCGTGTTCTCTCGTCAAAGGAAAAGGTGAATTACTAGCCGTTTGTATTTCTTTTTTTCACAAAATTCTGTGTACACTATAAAACTTCTTATTCTGTCACTATTTTGGACGCTTTTAAAAACAAACCTACTACCTGGACATGTAGAACTAGGCTATCACTATAAGGAATACTTACTTTATACTTGAAAGGCCTGTCCTCACTGGTTGCGCGAGCCCCAGTATAATCACCATTTTTCCGAGATTTAAGCCATTGTGGTCTCCTCAAATCCCGAGGTCAACCTAGCCAAAGTCTGCCCAGGTCTTCACCACCACAGGCAGTCGCAGCCTTTGTGGAACAGAGGAAGATTTGCCACCATGCACCTTTGATAGCTTTGATACAGAACGGTAGTGGATCCTGGTATTGGTTTACTCTTAGCAAGACTTCCTGGCGGAAACACTGGATTATATGAATTAGAAATTTGAAAAAAAAACAGATGTTCTTTAAGATCCACTTTCAAAGCTAAGTATAAATGAAAGTCGGTGTTAAAAAATACTATTTTACTCTAATCTAGTTGACGTAATACCGACTTCTACGGAATGCATTGCCTTCATGAAAGCAAATTATCAGTGGATAATCAGTTAACAACCGTTCTGTATAAAAGAGCACTACTGAGTGTGAACAGGCTGTGTTCCAATTCACCGGATTCAATTTTATGTTACTATGAGGGTTCACACCGCAAGAATGAGGAGCTCTGGACAATCGACCCGAATCACTCCAGCTCTGATCAAGACGAATACGGCGAAAGGTAAGTTAGAATAAAATCTAGATGATGACCTCGTGTAAAGTGAGAGTTTAAACTGATTACAACAAAAAATGGATCATAAGAAAAACATGGATAAACTGCAGGATGGCTAAGAACCACAAACTAGAGCTAGTCCGTAAATGCTAGACAATGATAGACACATGCGAAGACGCCAAAACAGCGAAGGAGAGGAGGGCGTGCCAGGAAGCACTAGGAGATATCGTGATGTCGGTGACTTCGAAGACGCCAGGAAACCTGCTGCCATGAGGCGACGGCCGAAGACCCCCGAATAGCGATAAGCTGTAGGCCAACTCAGGGCCTCCGCTGAGCATAAGGGCAGTCGCGACAGTGCCGAAAACTTGCCTATCCACATTGAACAGCGGCCACATCGCTGTTGTGATGCCGAAGTCGCTAACCGGATATGCACTAACGGCATTAATATGTCTACACACTTTGACTTAACAACGATGTAGATTTCAAAAGCGAAGGAGAAAATCGCCCAACTCTGCTTCCTCAGAAACAATTCCGAGAATCCAGCAACGAAACAATCTATTCTGACGTATCACACGCCTACAGAACATTTTTGAAACCGGTCGAATGTTCAGTAATTGGAACCGTCAGTTCAGTAATCAATTGGATTTTACTACTAAAATAAACTACAAGATTCGCCGAAGAGATGTGCGCTATTCACCTGTGATGCAAAGGCGCGTTTCTTCTGGGATGGGTCGCAATAAATGTGTACTATAAACTATTCCGATTAAACGAAAATAAACGCGAACTGTCTATATTCTTATTCCATTTCGGTTTTCATTAGCTCCTGTACCCACTAGCTAATTTTGCAAGGCTTCTTACATTAGCGAAATATTTCCCTAGCGAAAAATCAAATGCTAAGAGTAAAAAGAGTTCTTTCAAAATTTTGCTTGAAGTAAAAAAACGCAGCCGAGAAAAAAGTGCTTTTAGTCTAGTTACGTTTAAGAAACTGTATCAGTGGTTCGGGTGAATTAACACAATTTAAAGAACTTAATGTGTAACAAGTAGAAACGCATCGAAGCAAGTTCGAATTCTGATTTTCATCGTTTCTACTGGTACACGCCTATATTTCGGCTTCATACGAAATAGTTAGTAAGATTGTATAGGAGGAAGAGAACACTGATGTCTCTCGTCAACCCATTTGACAAGCTACAGTATAGGAAGGAATCACATAAAGCACATTTCGTCCATAATTCGGCAACTATAAACAGCGATATAAACGAATGTATGAATACCAAATATAGAGAACAGTGTTTGCTTGGAGTGGGAATTATTGCTGGCGTGCCTTAGACTGAAGCTTTTGCTGTAAAATGAACAAAGGACCACAAGCAAGGGAATGACTCCGACTGGACCAAGGAAGCGTGCTTATCCCGCTCAGGATAGCATGTTTTCTCTGAAACCAACGTATTGCGAATTGTTGGTAGTAGGAGCAATACTACTAATGGGTGCGAAGCAACTA